ATTTGCTTTTGGAACTTAACAGGCTGCATTGTCGGTAAATACGATAACTTGGTAAGAGGCCTCGGGGCGTAACATTATTGGGGCATTTAAATACCTTGAATTGTGTTAAAAATGATTTTTTTTTCAGTTAAGTTATGCCTATCAGTTGCTTACTACCGTTATCAAGCAGCTGTACGAGGAGGACGGTGACCTCCCCTCAACGCGGGCACTTTCTTTGCGCCTTCATCTGGAGATAAACTATGTCTATTAATGTGGAATTGGATTTAGCAGAGAAGACTATCGATGACGCAACTTCAAATGCTGGAATTTAAATTCTTGATTGCTGTTGAATTTTTGATCTGATGATGGCCTTAAAAACGTTTTTAGAACAGTGTTATAGACAACTAACGCCGGGCGTCATCCTGCGATACTGAACTTCACTAGGCGTGCATCATCTGTACACCTTGAAGCGTTCCAACATGAAAATTAAAAAAAGAGCAGCAAACCTACAGCGTCATCAGCAAATTTTTAATGCAGTGAAGGCAAAAAAACGTCGATGTTGACATTTTTGAATAAAAAGCAGATTTCATTGCTTTACAAATGGTGTGAAAAACAGTTTAGAAAAACATCAAACAGAAAAACGTCTTCTCCGCGTGGCTTTTTTTGTTGGGCTTTAACTCGAGAAACATTGCGCCTGGGTTTGTGTGGATTTTTGTGTTTTGTGTATGCAATAGTTTCTCAAGGGCCCCCCTTTAGTGTTGCTATGGTCAGATGTGTATCGCTCATAGGTTATCAGCCTATGCTTAATTCTTAGCCCATCACCTCAAGGGGCGCCACGTGATTCAAGGTCACCACGCGTCTTCGATATTCTGCTATCTAGAACCAGTAGAATTCGCTGCTTACCGGACCTATATTTCTTTAATTTCACGTACTACAGAAGCATCCCACTTTAGCGGCTCGGAGAAGCATCCCTTTAGAGGATTTCGACGATAGGTATCTAACAAAACCTCGAAATGGCAAAAAACAAGCCAGCTTTTGTTGTATAAATTAAACATTTTATTTCACATATTTTATGAGCCGAAACCATCAAAACTGTAACGTTATGCTAACTAATTAAAATGTTTGATCATTTGGCCAATTCATTAAAGCTACTCCAAAGCCACACCCAATGCTGAGCCTTCTTCGTGACCCATTTTTCATTCATCCCAACTTAACCCATTCAACCCATTTTTAATTCGAAATTTTCGATTCCACCTAATTGCTTCAGAGATGCTGCTCGAGTGCTTCAACTGCCCGAAATGCTCGCTTCCGTTCCATTTAAACGAAGGGTCGTCACGTGAACCGATGTACGAAAGTGATGAACTCGTCTGCTGTCGCCAATGTTGCCCACCGCCCCGTCGTGACGATTATTTGCGGGGAGCTGGTTTTGTGATCAACCTGCTGAAGCAGGAGAATGTCAAACTAACCGATAAGGGCTGGATTGCCATCGGTCCGCTCAGAGAATTATGGGTGGGTTTTATCAAATGTTTTATTAACCCAAAAGCAGCAGCTTAACTAGCGGAGCCCGAATAAACCTGGGCTGAGAACTGGCTGAAAATTTGCACACAGATAGAATCGGCCTTGCTGATCACCACCAAGCTGCCCAAATCTGCTACTGATTCCTAAAACTCGAGATATGAGATATGAGATATGAGACGAGGCATGATGCCGTGCTTTCTATTTTGAAGTTTTAAATTATTTGAAGTAGCCTATCTGATAGAGAATTTTTTTCTGATTCGAATGGTGGTATATTTCATTAAAGTAGGCCTCGTCTAGACGACGTCTTACAGCAGTTTGAAGTAGGCTATTTTTCACTATTTCCCGTACAAAAATAGAAATCCTTATCATCCCATATATATATTACCATATTGTCAAATTTTCCAATTTTTCGTGTTTGAGTTAGAGGGCTCATTCGAAAAAGAAAAATTTTCTAACTATGATGGCGATATTTATTTTGCAAAATGGGCCTGGAATAGCAAAATAATCGAGCTTGAATATTGAAGATTTTAGTTAAAGGATTGTCTTAAAAGTGGCACATCTCGCGTTTTAAAGATCAGTAGCAAATTTGGACAACGAGGTGATGATCAGCGTGGTCGATTATATCTGAGTATGAGTATCTGAGTCCGGGTTTATTCGGGCTCCCCTAGTTAGACATTCAGTAAATGTAATTCTATGCGAGGGGAAATCTTTCTATCTGGTTTTTAGTTTGGAAGCTGTGGCGAGCAGAGGAAATTTGTCCGGAGCTATGGGCAACATACGAGAAAGCTGGAAGAGGTTCGCGAGAAGATCGCCATCAACTTGCGACAGCGCATGGTGGTCAAAAAATCCGAATGCGAGAACTGTGAGAAGACCCTGGGAAATTACGAGGACCGGATCGTGATCTCGTGCTCATTTGTGCTGTGCCCCATGTGCTACTACAAAACGAATTTGCGCAATGATTGTCATATTTGCGGTGAAGCGCTGCAAGCGCATCAATCAGTCGGCAAGGAATTGCTACAACAAGAGGAGCAGGAGCGACGAGCTGAAGAAGAGAAGCGGAAAGCAGAGGACTGTCACGATGTCATGGTTGGGCCGAACCAGGAGGCCTCCGCAATCGCCGCGAAAGGCCTGTGAAAGGGTACAACTTCGAAAAACCTGAATTTTCTTTCGTGAAATTTCTTTGTTGACCATTTGTTATGAGCACATAAAGATCTACCGAAATTACGCTCATTCATGGACAAGACAACACAGAAATCAACTACCACAACAGTCATCAAGCCATTTTTGCAGACAGTCGAGGATTTAACTAACTACACTTCAAAAAATGTTCGTATTTTAAACGATTTCCCGCAGCCAAAAAAGTTAAGGTATGCCAGCGCGCGATAGCTCGAATTTTTCCTTCCTCCTGGCTTGACACCTTAATTCTGATGTGCGTCACGTATTTCGCAAGGCTTAACTCGCCGCTCCAATGTAAGACGCATTTTGGATTTAGGAAGAATTTGGAAGAACTGTTAATCTAACCCGTCGGCCTCGATAAACTACGTACTTCCAGAAGCGCACTGCGAATCAGCCGCTGATCCCCTCAACGTTGGTTTACAGAGAGACATCTTGTCTGAGTCATCCAATCGCCATTTCCTCACGCAACATTTTTCGCGCAAAAGCCTTTGCCGGGGAGAGCTCCTGGACAGATGGGCTGTCTGAAAACGCGTGGGAGACCTATCGCCATGTCAAAACATTTGCATCGCTCACAATCCCCTCCCTCATTTACCCCGGGCTGTCCGGCTAATGTTTCTCAGGAAGATTTATTCTTATTTCCGAACGTCTGACTTTTTGGCTGCATATTGTATTCGAATACATTGACTCTCGTACGCTTTCCATTGCTCACACTTTCTCACTCACTCACCACGTCTATGCCCCTCTCTCTCTCTCTCTCTCTCTCTCTCTCTCTCTCTCTCACTCTCTCTCTCTCTCTCTCTCTCTCTCTATCGCTCTCTCTCTATAGCTCTCTATTGATCGCTCTCTCTCTCTCTCCCGTTCACTCTCACTCTCCCGTTCACTCTCACTCCTCTCTCTTTCTCTCTCTCCCTCTCCCTCCCCTCTCTCTCTCTCTCTCTCTCTCTCTCTCTCTCTCTCAGTTTCAATAATTGATTTCACATGGGATCTCCTTTGTTATAACTTTAAAAAACTCTCTTCGTTGCGTCAAATTATGGATTTGATTCTGAATTATAAACTCATACTTTAATAGATTAATACTTAATAATCTTCGATATGAGGTGTCATTTTGAAGAAAATCTCGATGAGGATGCTCTCTACGGAAAATATTGTTTAAATGCAATCGTATTATTTAGGCTAAAAATAGTTTTGACCTCACTCTATAATTCTCTCTCTTTCTTCTCTCTCCCTCTCTCTCTCTCTCTCTCTCTCTCTCTCTCTCTCTCTCTCTCTCTCTCTCACTCTGCTCTTTCTCACAAAACAATAAGCCGCTTTCCAGCGCCACAATGCTGCTCGACTTCCTAAGTTGCCAAAGGTGCCAGAAGCCGTTCCACGCCGATTTTGGAAAATCACGAACTCCAGTGGCCGACAAAGATTGGGAGATCTGCTGTCAAAAGTGCGCTAAGGGGACGAATATCCCCCTGAAATACGTCATCGACCTTCTCCGCCAGCCCGGGCTGCTTCGGTTGAGCCGCGGATGGGTGATCGTCGGACCGCTCGTGCCGTTCGGCTGTCCGGATTGCAATCGGGTGTTCGGGCCCAAGCCACACACGATTTACTGGCAAATCATTCGCCATCAGCAGCCGGCGCGGTGCTTCTGGCCAGCGGCTAAGGGAGTTAAGTGCGTACAGGCCTACTGCTGCTGTCAAGCACCCAGAACAACGTGGATTCAGTGTGATTCGACGATTCTGCCGGCTGATACGTGCGTCAAAACCGAGACAAACATCATCACCCAATTCAACGACGTTGTTGCGCATAAAATGGTCATCCTGGAGATGATGCAGAAAAAAGTTAAGATGAGGGCGAGCTGTGCAAGATGCCAAGAACGATTTGGCAATGGATTGGTCATCCTCGGCGGCAACACGGCAATGTGTAAAAAGTGCGACGAGGAGGTGGAGGCCAACGAAAAATGTGTCCATTGCTCTGAGTTGCCAGCCGAACACCGTCTCCGATGCGAAGAAATCCCGGGGCGCCGGTTGCGCGAGGAGATCTACGTTGCGGAGAGGTTGGACGTTAAAGCGCAGGCTCTGACGCGGCTCAACGACCCGCTGGAGGCGTGTTCTGGATGCGAAGCCAGAATCCTGATCCCCCTGATGTTCTCATGCTCCGACTGTCAGGGTGCAGTCTTTTGCGCTGTGTGCTCCGTGCGCTCGCATAAAACACATAAGCTGTTGGATTTTGGTGCGAAGAAGCTTACGGAACTTGAGGCTCAGAATACCGATGACCTAACGAAACGCCAGACTCGGATCGTATCAAATTTCTATGATGTTCACCGCCTGCTTGCGGACAATATGTACAAATTTTTCGTTGAAACGGAGCAGTATCTGAAGGTTTGTTCACTTGTGGACTTTTGGGGAATTAGAAAACTTCTCTTTGAGATCCTCTCTTTTAAGATTTGCTTTACAGTTTTGTAATAAACCATATTTCAGTTGATCAGCCAGCAGCCCGTCTATGAAAATGGTGCCGCGATCGGCGAAGTCCTCTGTCAGAAGGCCCACGCGTTGCAGAAGCATTTTGAGGTAGCTTGGCGGCTGTTTAGTTGATAGTTGAAGGCTCAAGACAAGCGACCTTTGAATTTTTTATAACACAAATTTTGTATTTTTCAGGAATATTTGCCTCATGCACGCCTCTGCGGCGAGCAGTTGTTGGATCTCGCTGACGATAGACGTGCCCTGCTGCGTGGCATCAGCCCGGGGATTTCGAAATTGTAAATTGAGCTGAATTTTCAAATGCTTTGTAGATGTCATTGTGGAGTTTCTTTTAGCCAAACTCACGATCAAATTTTAACAGATTATCCTTATTTCGTTATACCTAGCAATTTCTGAATTATTTAGAGTGGCTGAATTGCTGTCGCTCTCTCTCTCTCTCTCTCTCTCTCTCCCTCTCTCTTTCACTCTCCTTCTCTCACTCTCTCTCCCTCTCTCTCACTCTCTCCCTCTCTCACGCACTCTCATGCCCTCTCTCTATTCCTACCTAAGTACGTCTTCGATCCTCGATCAATAATAACTTTGTACCATGATTTTAACTGCTCTACCATAACAAGTGATCCGAATAAACATGATTTTGTTGCATTTTTTATTGATGCAAATACCAGAAGCTGGCCTGAATCATCCGAGCCATTTTTTCGCGCGATATTTTTGGCGTAAAGCCGTTAGTGGCAAGGGTTCGGCCACAGCTGGGTTGTCTGGGAAAGCCGAATGAGATCGATCGCCGAATCAAAACATTTGCATCGCTCACAGCCCCCTCCCTCATTCACTCATGGAATTTGAGCCTGGCTATCGGCACATATCTTATTTTTGACGATTTTTCGTGAACTCTGGGCTCCTGCTTTTTTCCAAAAACTTTATGATTTGGCAACCTTTCAAAGGCACTGGTTTTTATCTTGAAATTTGCAAATTGTGAATTTTAGATGCTTCTAGAATAGCATGTGGCCTCTTTTTCACAAAATTGCTTTACCCGACTCTTGCTCTTTCCATCAAATTTTCTTAGACCCAATCAAAACATATTTTTTTTCAAATTTTAGACCCCAATGCTACTCGACTTCCTCAACTGCCCAAAGTGCAAAAAGCCCTTCGAGGCGGCTTTTGGAAAACCCCGTACACCCGTGTGCGATAAGAATGGAATCAGCTGCAAAAAGTGTTCAAAGAAGCGGAGCTACCCTCTCCGATTCATGATCGACCTTCTCCGGCAACCCGCGCTCGTCCGAACCAGGGCAGGGTGGATGGTGCTAGGACCGTTGAAGCCGGTGCAGTGCCCAGATTGCGATGTCGTATTCACGCTATCGTCTGACCATTCGCCCTATTATCGAGTGGGGTGCTGGCATAGGAGTCGTTGTTGTCAGGGCCCAGCCAAGAAGGGGTGCAAACGCATTAAGATCGTCGGTTGTGACAACGGCAAGGCCGACCACAGCTCTGTGAAAGGATGGACCTGCACGAGCTGCAAAGACCGCTTGGATCCGCCGGAAAAATGCCAGGCCGATGCAGATGAGATCCTTACAAAATTCAACGACTTTGCAACGCGCACCCAGGCAGTGCTAGAAGCTGTCCAAAGCGAAATCGTGGTCAGCGCAACCTGTGCGAAATGCTTGGAGCCATTCGGAAATCGGATAATTGTCATGGGAGAGAATCAGGCCTTCTGCAAGAAGTGCTACGACAAAGACGAGGTCCAAAAAGCGTGCGCGGGGCTGACGGAACGTTGTGCAAAGCTCCGGACGAAGAACTGTCCGAAGAAAACTAACACAACGCCTCGAGAAACGGCTGAAGATGTGAAGACGTCATGCAGTGGATGCAGGAAGGAGTCTTTGACCTCGGCGATGTTCTCCTGCGCAAACTGCAATAATGCGGTACTGTGCGGCGCGTGCGCAGTGCGTGAGCACAAGGTCCACGACTTGGTGGACCTGTGCGCCTCGAAGCTGGCCAAGATTCAAGCGCAGACCGGGGATGATGTGGAGCAACAGTGCAATGGTCTTCAGGGAATGGTGCTGCACGTCCACGAGCAGATTTCGATCAATATGCCGAAGATGATCGATAAAGCGATCGAGATTTCGCAGGTCGGTTTGGTTTTTTTGCTGCTGTTAGAAATTAATGTACCGTAGTATCTAGATATAATACAGCCCCGGCAGTCCTGATTTTTGTAATTTTGTAATTTGTAAGATATTTTTAATTATTTGCGTCAACTATTTTGTACTTTTGGCCATTACTTCGGGTTTTAGCTGCTCAAGCGGCTTTAAACGATTCAGGATCCCAGTGCCATGCTCAATAAATGACAGTTATTACTGTAAACATTTTACCAAAAAAAATAATTGAAGGCTACTTTTCCGTAATAAATTTCCGAAGTAGGGAGGGGGTTATATTATAGAAAATACCGTAACAGAAAAATGATCAAAATTCTAATTTTAGACGATCACAAAGCAGAAGGAGTACGCTAGCGGCGTCCTGACGGGCGAAGCGGTACGGAAGAAGGCTGATGAGTTCGAGAAGCACTTCGAGGTAGAGTCTATTTGGTTTTAGTTCTAAGTTATAATAGACACACAATAGAATGTAAAAACCAGAGAAATCAAAGCCTATTTTCATTTCAGGAATATCTCCCCCATGCCCGCATCTACAATGATAAGCTGGTGGACTTGGCGGAGGAGTGTTCGGCTATGCTGAAGCGGATTGAAGGGCTAGCCATTTCGCAAAGCGTAGAAAGCTCTGGAAAAGCACCGGAGGTCGCGAAAACAAGTTATACGATTAAGTAATCCTGACCTTATTTTTATTTTTTTAATGGACATTACCACTCTTTGCACTTTAAATTTTCGTTTTCACAACAACCAATTAATCCTGGCCTTGTTTTTGTATTTCAATTAGATCCCTCAACTTTAATTTTCATTTCCGTAGCGAAACAGTGTTTTCCAAATTTTCCTGAAGCTACAGACTTTCCTCGCCTTTCCACCGTAACTTTACTTTCTGTTTCGATTTTGTTTCTGACTTTGCCCGGTGGCGGTTTCCTCCGTTAAGACTGATTTGTTGTGCTAATAAACGAATTCTTTTCTCCAAATTTCGATAATTACCTTCAGTCCAATAAATTTTTTGGGAGTGTAAAAAACCATATGAGAAAAATCAATAAATTAAATAGTCGTAAACCCGAAATAAATTTTGTTAGAATATGCTGAATTTTGCGCAACGTTTTCAAATGCTAAGGTAGTAAATTCTAGTTGCTAAAGCGCCGCAAAAATCACCGTATTTTCTAACCCACAAAGGACGCGTAATAGCCTGCATATCATCTCATTAATGCAACTCCACGGCCCGGCCCTAGGGGTAGTTGATACGCAAGATCCGCGGCGGGTACATCTGCACGAAGGGCTGATAAGCAGTATATAAAGAGGCTGAAATTTGCCAGGAGTATCACGCATCATTCTTCCAAACTCCCTGGCCCAAAGCCTGCCAAGCCCTTGAAGCCCTACTTCGACTCTACGCTGCTTTTGCGTAGCAGATTGGGATTCACGACTTAAGGTAGGCAAGCTTGATTTCGATTAGACTAACTTTTCGAATTTTGTGCTTTCAATTACCCCATGAAAGTTTTAATACCCGTGCCCTCACCCTCAAAATCACGTTTGATCCCTGCCGTTCATAGCCTAAGCCTAATCTTTTCATATTCCCCTATCCCTCTTTTCCTCTAAAAAGACTAAAGGGGCCAGCCACTGTCGCAGTCGGCTATTGCAGGAATCATTTGTGGAAATAAGAGGGGGATGGTGTGTAGAGGATGGTGGTGTAGTCGTGCTCAGCCATTCGGAAATCCCACGTACTATGCTCCATCACTCGACTATGCACACTGTCCCGACAGGGGGGCACGGAATATCAAAAGACCATAATTTGCATACAGCCCGGTCGAGCCGTTCTCCAATAGCGTGCCTAGGCCGGGGCATGGTGCTGAATTGGGTCGACATTTAATGTTTGCACACCTGGAAAACCGACTTTATGGGTTGCGCGCTCAAAACATGAAAAATATGCTAGATTTGTCCATGAATTCAGAAAACAATTGTTTTGATTTTTAGAGACTGGTATTCGAGCCTCGTCTGCAACTCCTGACTCCATTTCCGCGCAATTTCCAAAGGACTGCAAGCCGCAAAATTTACAAGTAAGTCTTGATCCGGGTTATCGAGTTTAGCTCCGACTAAAATACCCGAATTAGAATAAAAAGCAAAAAAGCCATATCGATAAATTGGTACGAATCTTTCGTTTTAATTAACTTTCGTGGTGCTGGTTATCAAATTTTTAACCATGAGTTCCAAAAAAAATATTTTTGCCCTTTCGCGACCAGAACAACGTAATCCAATGTTTTTGGTAGTTTTTCGTAGCTCTTACAAGCAAGTTGCAATTTTTGATGCCTGGGCTTTAAAAAGCAAGATTTTACAATTTTGCTAATTACGCAATGAAAGTAAGATTGTTCAACTTTTCTAAGGAAAGCAGTAAAAAACCAGTTTATTGCATTTTAAAAATCGAGGCTTCGCACATCAGCTCGATTTAGTCAACATTAATTAATTGATTAATTTCCGTAATTTTACGATCCATACAGACCGTTCACAGGGTAGGGCCAGACACAATTTGCTTTGTCCAATCACGCAGTGTCGCTTTGATGCTTTATCGAGACACGTGCTAACAATCACAAATCGACGTGAAAAATGTCAAAAATTCACCTTTGAAGCCTACTACACAAAGTTATTTTGGCCTTTAGTGCAACTTTGAATGTGTAGCTTCATCACAAATTTCAGACCAAAATGCTGCTCGACTTCCTCAACTGCCCGAGGTGCAACAAGCCCTTTGAACCGGACTGGTCAAAATCGCGTACACCCGTGTGCGATGCAAACGGATTCAGTTGCAAGAAATGCGCCCAGAAGCAAAGCTATCGGCTCCATTTTGTCATGCTCATCCTCAAGCAGCCCGGACTAACTCTGACAAAGTCCGGTTGGGTGGCAATTGGACCGGTGATGACGTGGCAATGCAGAGAATGCAAGGCCTTCGTCTCTCCGACGTCCGGCCACTATTCTCGGGTGGAATGCTGGCATCCGGTCCGATGTGGTCCTTGGCCAATTATAAAGGGCAGGAAATTCATTCGCTTCGGCAGCTGCAATCCCAAACCCTCATGCGGCAAAACGTGCTCCCAATGCAAAGACGGCTTGAAACCGCCCGAAAAATTTCAGGCTGAGGCTGATAAATTTATGGCAAAATATAGTCAACTGCGACGCATCATGTCAGCGCAAAGAAACGCCATCAGCGATACTTGCACGATGTGTTTGGAGCCATTTGGGAATGGGACCGCCATAATGGGAGCGAAGGAGACCTTCTGCAAAAAGTGCTACGACGAGTCGGTGGTTCAGAAGGCAAGCGCTGGACTGGAGGCACGACTGGCACGGCATGTCCACGAGCAAATTGCGACCACGATTTCGCAGGTAGGTTGGGCTCGCAGATCTTTTGAGAAATTGTAACTATAAATCCGTTCAAAAATTAATATTACATTTTAGATGACGTCGAAACGGAATGAGTACGCTGACAACATACTGACCGGGGAATCGGCACCGAGCAACGCGGGCAAACCCGAAAAACACATTGAGGTAGCGCTACTATCATTTTTTTTTTGGGCTGAAGACTGGTTTACCCCTCCTCCCAACCCAAAAAGTTTTTGCCATAATCCTTATCAGGGCGGTAAGTAAGCTGCTCAAAACGTCGAACCTCTTAGGCCAGCTTATTTTCTTACGTCAAAAATTGGCAAAGTTCCGCAATTAGATCTCAGGATTTCCTTTAGTTGATTTTTGCTGCCCCAATGTGGGTTTTCGGATCTCGGCTCTCCATCGACTGGCATAGCTGGCAAGGGTACCAAAATGTAGCCCTTGATCTTTAGAGTCAGACTATAGTACGTTTGAGGCAAAACTTGCGAAAACTTAACATATCCGAGTGAGAAACCTCGTAATCTACGTCTAGCGACCTAATAAGCCTTGTAAAAATTTTCTAATAATGTTTGACGCCAGAAAACAATCTCGCCAAAATGGCAAACATTTCCAGACACTTTAAGCACATTAATAGACGGTAGGACTGAAAATTTGAGGCTGGATTGGGGGTAAGCCAGACCCTTAAGCATATTCCTGATAAAGATTAGCAAAATAAAAAACCAAAGTTTCAGGAAAATCCTTCACATAGCCATGCGGACAATGCTAAACTGGTGGAGCTCGTGGAGGAAAGTTCGGCACTGCTCAAGCGGCTTCAAGCGGTTGCTTTGTCTCAAGAAAAATCGCTTGCGATGCCGGATTAAACTTCATCCATCTTGATATCCTCATCCCCCATGATCTCCCAAAGTTATTTTTCATTTCGACAAAACCATATCTCTTAAAATTTCGTGCTTTACAATCAAATATTACTCATTCTTTTCCAGTATCTTTGCATCTTCTCCCTAAATCTCCTCTCAATTCCAAACTCTCGAAACTTGTCCGTTTCAGTACAAAACATTTTTCTCTACATTCTGACTGATTTATTGTGATGTAAATAAAAGAATTCATCTACCTGAATTAAGAATAACCGCCTTAAAGAATAGCCCAGGATGCGATAATATGGCAAAAAGATAAGAAAAAGAATGATTCGATACACGCGACCCCTAGTCTGATTTGTCTGAAGGATACCAATTGTTGTGCAACCTTCACTGATTCTACGGAATGACTCAGATGTCTCAACCGAAACCATATTTTTGTTTCGGAAAAAGGGACTGTGCCGAGAGACGCTCACTGGGATCGATGGACAAATCAAAACATTTGAATGGCCAGTCGGAGATCGGATCACTTCACACTGACCAAGATATCGATGCGAATTTCTTTCGTTTCCACCGGCTGCTTTTTAGAATGTCATTTAACATGGATTTTTTCTACGGTTTCCTTGCTAGCTCTCTCACTCACTCACTCTCTCCAACTTGTGCGCTCTCTCTCTCTCTATCTCTCTCTCTCTTTCTCTGTCTCTCTCTCTCCATCTCGCTCGCTATCTCTCTCTCGCTCTCTTTCTCTTTCCATGGTCTCCCTTCATGTTTCTCTCATAACTGCAAACATGAGAGTATTTAGGAGAATGCTGCTCGACTTCCTGAATTGCACACTATGCGATAAGCCCTTCCACGCTGGCATCGGGAATTCACGTACGCCTGTGGCCGACAAAAATGGCAAGTTGTCGTGCCAAAAATGTGCCGTCGAAAAGGAGAGCTTCCCAGTGAAATTCGTCATCAATTTGCTGAGGCAGCCCGGGCTGGCTTTCCGAAGAAACAGCTGGGTTTTGCTCGGCGAATTAAAGCCACTCAAATGCCCGGATTGTCGAACGATCCTCACCCCGGAATCTGGACATAGATCTCATCACCAAATCGTCTGCCACCATGAAATCCGTTTTTGCCTGGGCCCTGCGAAAAAAGGCGTGAAATACTTTGATATCGTCGGCTGCGGAGGAGGTGGTTCAGGACCGGAAGCTGCGCAAAAGTGCAAAACCTGTCAAGATCCCTTGGAACCTCCTATTGAAAAAGAGCTGAGCGCGATTGGCCTCGTCGCGAAGTACAATTATCTGGTGGCCAGAATCATTCCGGTATTGCAAGCGATCAAGGAAACCAACAAGGTCAGCAACAACTGCATGAAATGCCTACAACCTTTTGGAACCGGAACGCTGATCGTAGGTGAAGATCAGACACTTTGCAAAAAGTGCTACGACGAGAGTGATGCTTTGAAAAATTGTGTGATTTGCGTGGAGCGCCATTCTCGAATCCAGGAAAAGCACGAGCAAACAAAGATTCTGGAGTCAGAGGAGAGATGCGATGAAGCTACGGAAGACGTCAAGACGACTTGCAGCGGATGCGGACGCGAATCCCTGACTTCGCGGCTGTTCTCGTGCTCAAACTGCAACGGGTCGATCCTTTGCGGCGCATGCTCGGTGCGTGAGCACCGGAATCATCTTTTGGTGGATCTAGGAGCGGTCAAACTCGCCAAGATAGAAGCCCAGACCTTGCAAGATGTTCATCAACACTACAATGGGTTGTGTGGGAATGTTGCGCACATCCATGATTTGATTGCGGTCAATACGAAGCGGTTGGTTGCGGAAACAATTGAACATTTGCAGGTGGGTTTAAAAGGCCGTCCGCCAGCTACCCGACCTGTCCCCATTATGGCTTGGCACAGTTTTTTCGACCCTATTTTTATGATGCCATCTGTAAGAGCGTGACCGAATTAGTAGGGTGGCATAGTTTTGAAAGTTTAAAAAGTTGATTTTCGGGGTTTAAATGGCCGTTAAAGTTGCCGATATCAAAAACCTATCTCGAAAATTACCGGACCAAATTTGCTGAAAATTTGTGACAATACCTAATTTGGAATGGAGATCATTTCTCTAATACATTTCAAAAACTGAAATGGCTGGAACATAGGAATCTCGCGTACTAAAACAGTTTTTTTAAGATTTTCTACTTAATGGGAAATCGGCGGCATCCTGAAAATAACATAGAAAAATGCGCCAATTTTTTCTACGTCGAATGATGTGTCTTTTAGGATGCCGCCGTTTTCCCATCATCTAGAAAAGTCGTGATCTCTGGAATCAACAAAAGTGGCCTTAGAAGATAGGGGGCTGCGAATGAGAAATATAAAGGATTGCTGAAGACATCTAGAGATCAATGCCACCGATTATCAAAAAAGAGCAAAATTAAATTCCTCATCTACGCGAAGTTGAGTACGGAGGGGAATCGAACCCGCGATGGTCCGCCTGGGGGGCTCTGGGGACAGGGGCTAGAGGGCGCCGCCACCTCCCAGGCGAACGACCCAGTTCAATCCCAGCCCCCTTTTAGAAACCGAATTTCTTTTTGCTCTTTTTTGCAATTGACTTGGCTGCGCTTCTAGAAGCAAGTGGGTGACTCCCCGTTTGAAAACCTGGATATTTTTCTTTTTTTCATCAAGAAAATGCCGTTTTTACGGATGATGGGAAAACGGCGGCATCCTAAAAAACACATCATTCAACGTAGAAAAAAATTGGCGCATCTTTCTATGCTATTTCCAGGATGCCGCCGATTTCCCATTAGGTAAAAAATCTGAAAAACTGTTTTTAGTACGCGATATTCCTATGTTCCGGCCATTTTCAAGTTTTGAAATGTATTAGAGAAATGATCTCCATCCCAAATTAGGTATTGTCACAAATTTTCAGCAAGTTTGGTCCAGAAATTTTCGAGATAGGTTTTCGATGTCGGCAACTTTAACGGCCCTTTAAACCCCAAAAATCAACTTTTTAAAATTTCAAAACTATATGGCCCCACTAATTCGATCATGCTCTATCCCATGGCGTCAAAAAAACAGGGTCGAAAAAAACTGTGCCAAGCCTATTTCGGATGGCTGACAAACGGCCTTTTAATTACAAAGCAGTTAGAGCTTTAATTATGAATATTATCAACTTTATTTACGAACAATACTATTTTTTAGCTGATCTCGAAGCAGAAGGCGTATGCAAATGGGGTGCTGATTAGTGAAGCTTTGCGGAAGAAGGCCGATGAATTTGAGGGACACTTTGAGGTAACGCGCTTGATAGGTCCACCAGTTTTTTGCAAATTTTGAGGGCATTCCGGTCCGGATTTAACTTATTGCGATGCACCATATTGTAGCCCATAAATTCTTTAATTTTTGGCGTTTCGACACAAAAAAATTTCCACAAAGAAGTTTTGTCGAATGAAAAGTTCAAAAATTGGCTAAAAAACTAAAATTCTTTACCTTTAAATTTTAAACTATCCTTGCTAGGCGTTTCTTTTTTTAAATCAACACTATTTTTTAGGAATATTTGCCGAGAGCCCGCATCTACAACGACAAACTGATTGATTTGTCGGATGAGGGGAAAGCCCTGATGTCCAATTTCAACACCAAAACTGACAAGACCGAGGCCATGGATGGGCAAAATGCTATCAAGATCCCGTCGGCTCCCCCATGTGAAGGTTTGGAGAAAATTTACCCAGCCCTGATACAGCTCTGATAACTCCATGCCAACCCCGTTTTTGAAAATGCGCATTTTTTCTGGTTCCTGGTTGCAACCTGGTTGGTTGAAAAATGAAACTGTGGTTTTCACCAGTTCCGGCCTGGAGTTTCGTCTATCTGTCGTACTCTCTAGTATCATTTCAGTAGATATTTATTTACCTCCCTCACCTACTCTCTTTTTTCTCCCGCTCTCTCTTTCTCTCGCTCTCTCTCGCTCTCTCTCTCTCTCTCTCTCGCTCTCTCTCTCTCTCTCTCTCGCTCTCTCGCTCTCTCACCATCCCTATATCTATCCCGCGTTTTCTCTCTGCGGCTCTCGCTGTCTCTTTCTCACTTTATTCTTTCAGCTCATCTCTTTACTTTTGTCTGGTTCGATTTGGTCATGGAAATAAATAGTTTTTAGTCGATCACTGAATTCGGCCAAGCATGTCAAGCCAAGGCATCAAAAATACAGGCCAAGGACAAACAAGGTTTTCACTTTTCTTTAACTTTCCACCTTTTAGACCTATCAACGGCAAGCAGCAGCCAACAAGAATCAAAAGCGGGCGTTGGACAAGAACATTGTGCTAATAAAGTTATTTCGGTGTTCATTGCCTTGCGCGCGTAATAGGACACACCGCCCGCACAGCCCCCGCTCATTGAAGGTGGCATCCTGTTTTGGGTGCGTTTCTATGGCTGCGGTCGGATCCAAAAAAATGCCGCCCACATCTGAAATGAATATATAAAATAAGCCTTGAATGTTGTAACTGTTTTAAACAGTATCCTCAACAGCATTAACTAATATCCATCAATTACTGGGATTTTCAGAATTTTCGGAGGTCTCCGATTCGGTAGGTTTTGAAAACCTTTTGGAATTTTTGGGTTTTCCATTTTTCAAGTGATTTTTAATAACTGTTTATTTAATAGTTTTCTGGCTTGAAAATTAATTTTTTAATTGATGCTAGACAAAAACACTATCTTATAAACCTTTCAGGGTAGCACAAAATGATCCAACAGGGTTAAAATTCTATGTAATTTTTGAAATAATTCCTTATTTCCATTTTTTCAGCACCAGACGCAAGATGCTTCTTGACTTCTTCAATTGCACCAGCTGCCAGAAGCCCTTTGAAGCAAAGCTTAGATCCCCGAGGACCCCTACCCATTTCGGCGACAAATTATGGTGTCGAAAGTGCTGCTGTGGATATGGGCATCCGGCTAAATACCTTGTTGATCTCCTCGATCAGCCAGGACTTGCAAGAACCAAAGCTGGATGGGTCGTGGTGGGACCTTTAAAACCTGTAGAATGCCCCGATTGCAACGAAGTCATAGACGCCAAGTCGCAGCATGACGTCGGCCATATTTTGGCTTGCTGCCAAGCTAAATCCTCTGTTTTTGGTTTTCTGAATAAGGACCAGAGACAGGTCGAAATCGTAGGCTGCAAGAATAGAAGTTCCATTACTCAAATGAACTGCAAATTCTGCGCCCGATCACTGCGACCACTTCATGATTTCACCGAAGAAAATGTCATCTTCAAATTCAATGCTTTCATTAAAGAGAAATATCCGATTCTGGAGAAGCTGCTGTATGATGTGGCGCTCAAGGAACATTGTGATGAATGCCAGAAAGAATTCGGGGCCGGAATTTTGGTTGCGAAAGGCGGGAAGACATTTTGCAGTCATTGTTATGATGCGGGAAAACCGGAAAACGCAATTTCCGATTCGTGTGCATTAACCAGCATTGTTGCTTTTTTCTACGAAGGAACCCAGAAGCCTGATGGCAAAAGCTGAATACCAAGTCTCGTCAGTGAAATTTACCAAAAAACGAAAAAAACGATAATAAAGATATTCAAATTAATGGCTGTTTGATATACCGTTTCAACCTTGCAATTTGCGCCCGGTCTGCATTGTTTTTATGACTTTTGAGCATATTTTTTAATTTGTGATCAGAGAAAACTTTGAAAATACATCGCCAGGTTAGAAAGACGTCGGAATTATTGTGTTGTAGAGCTGCGCTAGATCAAACCAAAATCTCTGTCGACCCTTTCAGCTGTCGGGAATTTTCAAGCTTCCTAGTCTGTCTATGACAAAGCTTCCAGAAATGCTTATCGAATGCTTCAATTGCCCGAAATGTGGGCCGCCATACGATGCATTCCTGTTCTATCGCAACCCAATGGTCATCATTGTCGGTAAAATCATTGGAGAGGTATGCTGTCGGGCGTGTGCGGCGATTTTCTAAATGGTCAAGTCCGTTTGAAAGCTCGCTCTCGGGCAGTAAATTCACGAGTCCAAATTTTATGCAAGGGATGCTCGGGGACGACAGCGTGCTCGGTAAGTCTGCAGGTTTGCAAATTGGCTAGCTTCGATGTTTATTTGGATTTGGCAAGGAATAGGTTATTTGCGATTTTTTTTCAGTTCTGCGACTCCGATGTTTGCAAATGCGCATCCGACAACCCCGTTCTATCGATCAGCCGCTCCTACCACGACTGCGAAAAAGCGTCTGCAGACCAAGAAAAAAGTAGATCGGCTCAATTACAGCCAGACTAGTGCAATCCTGCCCTTGTGTGTTCCGCCGTTGGCGAGAACAGCCTGATGACGCCGAAGCAACTAATGGCTCGTCAATCTCAGCAATAGAAAAACCGCGCCTTGCTGCGGAAGAAGATCTGAATAGGGTTTGCAACCACTGCGGAAGCGGCCGACTGCGATAACGTGGTGCTCTGCGGGGTCTGCTCAGTACGCGGGCATAAAACTCACCGGCTGTTGGATTTGGGAGCCGTAAAACTAACCGAACTTGAGCAACAAACTGCCAGTGATATTCAACCCCAGTATGATGGTATTCATGGAATGGTGCAGGACGTCCACGATCAAATCGCGATGATTATGAAAAGATTGGTCAGGGAGGCCGTCGCAGGTTCTCAGGTTGCCCTGAGTTCCTTCACCCTAAAGGATTCAGACTTTTAGTTAATCTCCCAGCAACAAAGGAATGCTAACGAGATTTTGATAAGTGAATTTTTTGAGAAAAAGGCGGACGACCTTGTGAAACACTTTGAGGTAAGATTTTGCAGGATCATTTGTTTATGAAAATTGGATACTTATCTTCGGAGCTACAACGAAAGTTTGCTTGAACCGGCCGGAGAGACACGGGAGCTTCTGAATGAATTATACAAAGGCGTCGAAAAAGCTGATGACAAATAAGTATCCCCGCGTGTTGACTGATCCGATAAAATTCCTTAAGTCCTAACAATAAATCCCAGATTGTTTACAATAAAAAGTTTTCCCCAAATCAAGGAGCTTTCATAGTGAAATTTTTCAAACGGTTAGCAATTGCGTTTAAACCACGAGAACTCATTTCCGTCATCTCCAGCTACCGATTGTCGGGCTGCGAAATTTTAGCAAACAGGTTGCCATGGTTTCCTGCTCATACCCATACCCAAAATCCTTCAACCCTAGTTTCTTCTCGTAAACAAGTTAGTTTCTCATTTTCCAATTTTATGAACCATTTGACAATATAAGGGATCAATCCGTGATATTTTCTATTCAAGAACATTTTTTTGCAGACCATACCTAATTTAAGCTTTAGCTAACTCGGCTTGACGACAAATGTTCCTCCCCTTCCTGAACTGCCAGACATGCAACAAGCCTTTCATGGCAAAACCAGGCCAAAAGCGCGCGCCGATGATCGACGGGGGTAGGATGGTGTGCCGAAAATGCTCGTCGAAGGATGGTTTGGCGGCAAAGTACGTGACACGGTTCCTCAAAAATCGCCACGGTGTGCTGCTTAGAAGCCGATTTCATTGGCTCATCGCTGGCCCGCAAGATCCTGTAAGGTGCCCGGATTGTGAGAAGCCTTACGATGCTATTACGCACCCGATCAAGCTTCGACTGGTCTGTTTGCATGAGGGGCGCTTTATATTTGGCACTGCTAAACATGCAATCCGATGCGTGGACCGGATTGGCTGCAATCGATCAGCAATTGATGAAAAGCGCTGGCTCCGTGCTGAAGGGATTCGTGGCCAATGTCAACACCTGTCCGAGCCAGTTCCTAGCTTGCGAGATGAGATAATCTACAAATACAATGAATTCGTCCTTACGAAATATCCGATATTTGTCACTCTATGCCTCGACAATGCAAGAATGGAGAAAAAGTGCGGGCATTGCGGCTCGCGCCTCCAGGAGACGATGCTAGTTCGGGAGGGGCACAGGGCGCTATGCAACGAGTGTTACAACGGTGAAATTGGCGATAATCAACGAAGATGTGGTAAATGCGCAGAAATGACGCGTGACCACTACCTACCCTGCGATGAACTTGTGCGATGGCATCAAAGGACGACCAGGCGCTATAAGCAATTGATAATGGTCCGTCAATGTCTACTACCCGACTTTAAAGGAACCATATGCCATGAAAGTTTCGACCTGCACTCGCGGCGTCAAACATTTCAATGCACGGATTGCGATGATCGGATCCTGTGTGGCGCTTGTGCTATTCGACGACACAGAAAGCACAGGGTGGTCGAGAACGACAGCACCCGCCTATCAGATTCTGAGCGTAGATCACAGCAAAGGAAGGAAGATGAGGAGCGGTACGGAATATTGAGTGAAAACGTCACTTCCGTCCACGCGTTGATCGCGCAAAATCTGCAGCGTCTCATCAACGCGGCGGTCCCTGGGCATAAGGTTAGTTATCACTTTGTTTTTTGTAGCATAAAAAGTATGTTCATTGCAACAAAAAAAAAACCCGAAAACACGTCTCCCTCGATATTTGGTCACCCGTGATTTGGAATTACACGCGCACATAGATATTTTTAAAACCGTCCGATCTATTTATCATTACGCCGAAAACAACCAAATCAGTTTCAGTTCATCGACAAATACCCGAACCTCACACTGGCCAGCGTTTCGTTGTCGCTGAGGGTGGACTCGCTCGTTAAGCTCTCTGAGGCATATCTACCACACGCCGATGCCTATAACGAAGGCCTGCTTGACTTGTTTGATGACTGTCACAGCATAATAACTTATTTCGACCGTTTAAATTTAGTGCGGACCGAGAGTCACCTAAAACTGCTTGAGCAGGGCTTCCCCTCCGCTCAAATGAACTGCTAAATTTGAATTAAAAATCATTGAACCCGATGCAATAAAAGTTGGTCACGAGCATCCACACCGCGGTTCTACCCCTGAAATATGATAATACTCAAATATATAAACATTTCGAGCTAACAGGGTTATTAGCCTCAAACAACGTTCAAACTTTTGCTGTGCAACAGGACGGTATCGCGCGGCCAAGCCCTGCCTAACCTTGTTTGTAGCGGATTATTTTCGAATGCGAAAATGTGCAAAGGGTTCCCGCACGAGTTCGGCTTCATTTCTAAACTGACTATACTTTTTGCAGCGTACTAGTTTTAAGTTATTAAGTCATCTGCCACTTACTGTAGTTGGTCTAAAATATCACTGCCAAAGGGTCCCCTTTTCAGATGTTGCTCGACTTCCTGAATTGCGAAAAATGCAAGCAGCCGTTCAAAGCGCAGTGTAAGAATTCCAGGTCGCCAATGCTTTACGGAGACATTATTTGTTGTCGTCGTTGCTCGAAAGGCCATGGTTATCCCGCGAAATATATTATCGATATCCTCAAGCAACCTGGGTTATTTCGACACAAGACTGGATGGATGGTTATTGGCAAGTTATTACCATATTTTTGATTGTCCGTCCGTGAGCTTCCGGTACACTGGGTCCTATAGTACTGTAGCGTACGATCAGAGGAATTTGAGGATGTGCATGACGTTCGAAAACATGTGCGAAAATGTGCCTTTCGCTAAAAATTTGCCTTTAAGGGCGGCCCAAGTAGCGTTTTCTTAAATGGCTTTCAGAGCTGCCAAAGCTTTTTCAGGCTGCCAAAAAACGCGAAACCAGGAATTGTGATTTTTGCTGCACGCCCTTTCTTGGCAAGATTTTCAGAAATTCAGCCAGTTTCATAAAAATCCTTGCAAATGCAAAAAAGTTACGGAATTTCGAATAACGGATAAAGCATCACGCCTCAGGCTCAGAGCTTTAGATAGATGAATAAATCGTAAAAATGGACATGTCTGCGTGCAGCTAAAGGGGGGGGGGGGGGGAGTGGGGGTTGGGGACACCCTGTACAACGTCTTGACCATGCAGAATTATTTTCATTTTTTAGGTCCGTTGAAACCAGTTACCTGCCCGGACTGTAAAGCCGTGATAGACAACGCACATCTCGTGCGACGCGTCATCAAATGTCGCCACTGGAGCCTACTTTGGTGGACGGCGAAGGAAGGGCAGAAATATGCCGACTTGTGCGGTTGCGAGAAAAGCAATTGGCCTCGGCAACGATATTGCGTATGCCCGCATTGCTCGTACCGCAGTGAAGCGCACAACGTATCTCCAAAAGATCGTGTAATCAACAAATTCAACGAATTTATCAGCCAGAAACAACCGTACTTGCAAAGAATTATGGACGGCAGTATCGTGCTCACGAGCTGTCAGGGTTGTGAGGGTCAAATCGTGGCTAGTCAGGAACCATCCGATTTGGACCTTGGAAAGTTATTCTGCCGGGAATGCCACGAGGAGCGTGCACTTGAGAAAAAATGCGGAACTTGCAGCTATAAGGTGGCTGATCACCGTATCCCATGCTCAGATATTTGGAAGGTGCGCCAATGGAAGGAAAACCTATGCAAGGTCACCAAAACTTTGCAATCGAAACGCAAACAGAAAGAGAAAGAAAAACAGCCATGTGGAGAATGTCACGAGGTTCAACCGATCTCGGACTTATTCACTTGCTACAAGTGCCACCAAGGCGAGAAGGCAATTTGTGGCAAGTGCTCGGTGCGCAACCATAATGATCATTCGGTAAACGAACATTTCCCCTATGAGTTAAGTCGGATCAAAAGACGCACTACTGAGGAGGCGGGCGAACAGTACGATGGATTGCGAAAGATGGTGACGTATATACAGGCGAAGATCGAGGAAAACACGAAGCTGTTAATTGATCGCTCCATGAATCGTGCAACGGTATGTTTTGGCTTCACTCGCATTTCGGTACTATCAAAAATCAGCAGTTTAATAATTTATTAAATTGCTTTTGGCCCAAAACACAGTAAAATCCTTGACTATGCCTAGAATGTCCCCAAAAAAATCGACCACCCAGTGGTCCGCAGAAGCAGTCGATTTTGACGATCTAGGTATCTATCGAAAAACCCCGGGGAAGGCGAGAAAAAAGCAATTGTGGGTTTTCAATATGGATGTTTTAATTCGCGAATTTTAGGACAAAAATCCATGAAAACTGCAGATTTTATGCAAAACCAGCATGGCGCTAATCTTACGCTGATTTAAGAAATCGTGAATATCGAGCGAATTTTGTGAATTTTTTTGAATTTTGTAAAACAAAGGCCTTTTCGAACGGGTGTAAAAACCATCCCAATCCGCCCTTTCTGCGGACCGCTCGAGGGCGTTTGGGAAATCTGTATGTTCAACGTCCAAGTCTCCATAAAATTAAGAATTTTTCAGCTCATCCCCATCCAGCAGGTCTATTCCACCGGAGTGTTGCTCAGCGATACATTGAGAGATACTGTCAACCAATTTGAAAAGCATTTTGAAGTATATCTGCCGCATGCCCGCATCTACAATGGGCGCCTGGAGGACTTGCAAGAAGAATTGGAGCATAGCCTTAAACAATTGGACCTGCACGAGCCCTATCTCTCGGGAGATAAAGGGTTCTATACTGATGACGGGGTCCTTAAATTTTAACGGGAGTCCTTAAATTCTGCGGGCTCCTTAATTTTTAAAGGGGTCCTTAAAAATTATCGGGGTCCTTGGATTTTATCGGGGTCTTTAAAATTAGGTCGAAAAAAAGTTAAGGACCCCGTTAAATAACGGGGTCCTTAAAAATTGATGAGAAAAAATAAGGACTCCGTAGCTAAAGCTAAAATATAGTGTTTGTGTGTGCCAATCTGCATACGAATTCCGTCACCATGTCCGGAGGATATCTCGATAGCCGATGAATTTTAAGAAAAAATAACCAAAGGCATGTGCCTAACAAGCACCGCGCCGCAAAATTCGCGCCGCCATCTTCGGCCGCAAAGTTCGCGGCACCTTAATTAGAAACTAGAGATGTTACGCATAGAGATGTTACGCATACGAATACGATGTGCTACTTCCGGCAGATTAGCCCGATATGCATATCTGATTTGAGATAGAATGCCGGTAATTCGAATACGACGATCGTATTCGAACAAGCCTCGGCTGATTCCGACGCGATGATCTGGCAAGTCGGCTCCACGTCGGGATAAAAACCAAAAATATATAGGGTTTCTACAAATTTTCTGGATTCAAGCAAGAGATTTTTTGGTCCTAGAAAAAATAGGGTTGACCTAAAAGTTTAGAGTAAATTTAGAAAAAAAAGTCGTTGGTAGGAAAATCAGAATAACTACTTATTTTAGATGATCTCGGAGCAAAACGTCTATGCCGATGGTCTCTCGATCAGCGACACTTTGAGACAAAAAGCGGACGCTTTCGAGAGACACTTTGAGGTGAGAGCGTCTTAGCTATAGTAGTATGAGAGGTATTCGACAGCTCTAAAGATATCTCAAAAAGCCCTAATTCCAGGAATACCTGCCGCTCGCCAGAATCTACAACGAAAAGTTGACGGACCTCGCCGATGAAAATCAAGCGCTGATCCGCCAATTCAAAAAGGGTCTCGCCATTGCTGAGAGCCCGGAAAAGAAGGAAGAGGCGGAAGCCTCTACCCGGTCTGATGGGGATCCGCACGACAGCTCTCAGACCAAGAAACGCAAAAGAAATTTGAGGAAAACGTGAATAACGCCGTCCATCAAATTGCATCACCTGACTTTTTCCAGCTAAATAAACGAATTTTAAGAACTTTTGCGTCCTGAAAGATATTTCAAACAAGCAATTTTTAGCATTCCACTGTGCCTAAAATTCGTTGACGTTCACTTTCTGCGCAAGTCCGCTAGTGTAGGCAAACACATTCATCGTTAATGTTTGGTAAATGGCAGGTCATGGTGCCGTCTGTGTCGCGGCTCCCGCCAACTTAATTTCGATCAGGGCAGATGCCAAAGAATTGGAAAAATTCCTGCCATACTTCTCTTTGGTATTCCTCTCTTTACCTATCTATTAAATACAGATTTCTTTTAACATTGGTCATCACAAAAGACTTGAGCGCCAATTTAGGCTTACGTAAATTTAATTAATTTAATAAGTAAATTTAATACGTAAATTGGCGCCTTACGTTTTTTTCGATTTTTCAAAAACGTCTCCGTGTGCGCGTGGCATTTTAACAATTTGGCTTCAATTTTCCATCACATTTCGCCTATTTCCGCCATTTTAGGCGGTTTAAAGAAGGGAATTGATGTTTTGTGATCGGGCGCCCCCCCAAAAAAGTTTTGCCTATCTCGCGAAGAAAATAGGACGCAGCAATCTTTTAGCAGGAAGTTCTTGCCTAACAGATTGAAAGAAACTTGTTCTTTTGGGAAATTAAGTAATTAGTCTTACAATTCTTCGGAAACCCAAGCTATTTGCGCTACCTCGAGGGGCTAATTAGCTAATTTCCCTGGACTGGAACTTGGTGCTCGTCTCATGATCAAAAGGGGCCGTGATTGTCGGGCTTTGCAGTTTTTGGCAGAAACGTTTCCATGGTTTCGAGCAAAAGAGAGGCGTTTATGGCCCTCTGCACACTGTTTACTCCAAGTCTTCCTTTTCTGTTTTTTATAAATCTCAAGCTCATTCCGTATTTATTTTTTGCTTCAGAACACGTTCAGTCGTCATGTTGCTCTCCTTCCTCAAATGCGAAAATTGCTGGATGACTTTCGACGCGCGGCCCGGCCGTAAACACTCACCAATGATGCATGACGGCCAGTTATCATGCCGAACATGTTCATCGGGGTTGGGATACTCGGCGAAATACATAACCAGGCTTTTGAAAAGCCGTGCTCTGCGCTTCGAAGAAGGCGCTTGGGTTGCGACCGAACAACTAAAACCGATCCGTTGCCCCGACTGCAATATCCCTTTCGAAGTTACCAAGCACCCAGTAAATCTCCTACTTAACTGCCGCCACAAGAAGCGACCTATACTGGGAAAAGCGGCAAAAGGCAAGATGCAAGTAGAGCTTAGGGGCTGCTATGGGGGGATGGTGCACGGTCTCGAATTTTCCCCCTCATCTTACGCTTGCTGCGCTGACAAGTTCGAAAAAGATTTGGCCTGGGAGGAACCACGGTTGGAAGACACAATCATCTACAAGTACAATAAATTCATTATGGAAAGTACTGGAACGACGACAAACCCAAACGATAAAGTTCCATGTGAACATTGTGGGAAGGTAATTAAGAACACGTTTCCCAAGGATCAAAAAGCCCTTTGCGCCATGTGCCATGCCGGCAATCCTGAAATTGAGGGGCGCTGCTGCAAGTGTTCGAACGTCATGAGCTGGCACTACATCCCATGTGACGAAATTCCCGCCAGGGTCCGGAGGACAACGATGCGCTACCGCGAAGGAGTCACACTGAAGAGAGACATTTTCGGCGGCACAAAGTGCGTGGATTGCGGGTTGGCCCACGACCCTAGCCACCTGTTTCGATGCACCGAATGCGCCTACGCGATTGTATGCGAAGCTTGCCTGCTCTCGCGGCATCGATTCCACACAGCATTGCGGGAGGCTGCTGAGGACTGGAAACTTTTGGCGAAGCAAAATGAGGAACTTGAGTTCACGGAAGCAGAGAATAGACGAGTCTTTGCTGGGGCTTGCGACAGCGTGACGCAGATCCACAAATTGATCGCAGGAAATATAAGGCAGTTGACCGAAGAACATGTGAGACTCGAAAAGGTGAGGCCAAGGTTACACAGAGGTTGAGTAGATTAAGGTTAAAACAAGCTAGGCTAAACTAGGGCCAAGGTTGAGCGAATCCAATCCTAATCCGGGACAAAAACAAGCCGGGAAGAATGACCGGAAAAGACGATTAAAAATTTGATTCTGGATTGTTAATCGGGGAGGGCAATCAAACTACGGATCTCTACGGAATTAGACCTTTATGAAAATCCTAACATTTTTTATAGCATTTTACATGGTTTTTAGATACGAAAACAATAAAGAAAGCCATCAAAATTCTCGAAAATTTTTAACTGTCGGTGAAAATGTATGAAAACTGGCTAAAAACGTTCAAAACCTTCGATTACAAAATTATGAACAATTTTTTATAACTTTTTAGCAATGAAAAACTACTAAAACGCTCTCAAATACATTTATATCGCCAGCAGATAAGTGGAGAAACAAAAAGTAGTTGCCCCCCTTGCTAACCAAAAAATTTTGCCACAATCTTGTACCCAAAAGCATCTTTGCACCAAACTTTTCGAGATTCAGCTTCCAAAGAAAGCACTCCATGCAAAACTAGCCTCAAATTAATAGAATCAAAACAATCGTACCACACCAGCAAACCTAAGTTTTTCAGTCGATCCGCTTGGTGATAGCCGAAAATCCAAGGCTGGCGGGGTTTCGCTCTCTGATCTCGGCAAAGGTCGACGCATTCGTGAAGAGACATGATGACTACTTACCCGAAGCACGAAAGTATAATGAGGAACTGAACGATTTGTTTGAAGAGTATAGCAATCTCAATAGAATGATAGTCAGTACCCCACTAACCTTCGACGTCGAAAAAATAGCTATGGCGTATATGAGCACTCTTAACAAAAAGCCCTAACTTTTCAATGTGTGGCCCCCGTATTCCATGGATAAGTTGATCTTAAAATTTGATGTTCGAATAAATACATTTTTCCAAATTTGTCTCGCATGATACGCTAAAATCACAAGCGCATAGAACTTCTAGTCGCTAGGGTTGGAAACAAGCAAGCTGTTTTTTCGCGACATTGCGATTCGTAACCTTATTTGCAGCGGATTATCGGCACGGGCGAAAATTCTCATATGGCCTCCGCGCGGGGTTCCCGTTCATTCACAATCGGCACACAGTTTGGACAATTGTACGGTGATTCACCGGGTTTTTTTCCAGAAGTTGTAGCTTGAAAAGATGCTGTTTTTGGCTAGACCTTGCTTCATCCCACCCCCCATTTAAAATCTTAAAAGAAAAAATCTGAAAATAAAATTTTTGGCAAATCATGCAGTTCGCGGCCCCTTTTCCGACAGAGATGCTTTCATTCTTGTAAAATGGCAATATCTTCATAGTTTCCTTAACTTAATTTTTGAGTGGCCAATTAAGTACGCCGGGACTGCCGCGGTTGGTCCTGAGAATTGAAGTTATATTTCCACATTCCTAATGGGCGCAGAAATAATACAGGGCTGTCAATTATTTAATTTTTAGCTTATAATCTTAGGTTATTAACAAGGCTCGGCTAAAGATCCAGAATTCTCAACTATGACATTAATGTGCGAACGTGCCAAAAATTTATCCATGTAGGCATTCAGGCATATACAGGGAGTCTCACAAAAAACTCCCTCGGCATTGGCCCCCTTTTTCCGATCGGGCTGAAATTTTCCGGAGTAGTGCGGAAGACCAAACGTGCTGGGTTAGAAAGCTCTAGGTGGCCGGATGCGCGAAAAAACGCGATAAAACCTCCTCAAGCAATTAAGCAACAATTGGACCATCAGACCCATGGCCCATCTCAATGGGGGTGGCGAAATGGTTGGAGAATCCATTGAACTTGTCTTTAGCAAAGCATGAGCTCTCTTTTGTTATAACGTTAAATTGTTGAAAACGCGATCGCTTCACTAACAAAAGCTTTGGGTTATTTGTGCCAATTTCGGATGCAAATGAGCCTGAGCTTAGCCAAAGAGTAGTGTTTTTCGCTATTTTTGCGTTTTCTGCGTCTGCTGCCACTTAGAGCTTTCTAACCTAGCACGTAATGTAGTTTTTGGTCTTCCGCACCACTCCTGAAAATTACAGCTCGATCAGATATAAGTCGTCCAAATGCCGGGGGGGTTTATGAGACACCCTGTAGGCAGATGTCTAGGGTCAGCGCACAGACATTTTTGAATTGATCGGATCTGGCTTGATGATCCTGGCCTTAGTAACCCTATGCCACCCCGCCCCCAGCCCGAAGTTCCCAATGGTTTTTCGCTCTAACTTTTCTATATTAGATTGGTTTGGGATGTAAATAAAACTGATCGTATATTTTTTGATGCTCTATCGGATGGCGTGGCCAAAATCCCCGACACAATAGTGGAATTCTCGAAGACTTTCGGAAATTTCCGGCTGTGCGAGTGTACTGTAAAGTCTAGCCCTGTTTTTCCAGATGCGACTCGACTTCCTGAATTGCGAACAATGCAATCATCCCTTCAAGGCAAATTACAAAAGCCCGCAGACGCCGATGCTTTACGGAGGTATTGTGTGTTGCCGCCGCTGTTCGAAAGGAAATGGATACCCTGCAAAATATGTTGTCGACATCCTCAAACAGCCGGGATTGTTGCGACACAAAACTGGATGGATGGTTATCGGTTTGTATTTATGAGCTGATAGACTTTTGCATACAATGATGCCAATCCTGGGATTCCATTCACAGGGAGACGTTTTTGAGTGGCCTCACCGTTTTGATTTCGGACCCAAACTAACTGGAACAAAATTTTGTGCTGATTCCGAATCTGTTTTTATTTTTTTGCTACATATCTAGGTTTATAAGCGCAAAGCGTTTTAAGGCCATTATTAAGTATCTGCCGTGATGCTCTAATTTTTATTTTAATGTTTTAATCTATTTGAAGTGGCTTATCTGATAGAAAATTTTATTCTGAATCAGAAAACGCAGCAAAAAGGCATTCGGGTTTGGAATCTGCACAAATTTGGCACAAGATAGGCTTGAGCTCGATTCAAAACTAGGATGCCACTGAGAAACGGCCCAATGACGTTATAACTGTAATTCAAAAATGTTTCAGGACAGCTGTACAGCGTGAAATGCCGGGAATGCTATAAAATGATCGAGCTCGCAACCGATTGTTTTTCGAACAGACGTATTATTGCCCACCTTCACTGTTTCCACCGAAAACTTCTTTGGTGGACAGCGAACCAGGGCACAAAATATGTGGATTTCCATTGCTGCGGTTCAATCGAGCCAAAATGCTCACGCTGCGATTCAGCCACTGGAACCCTGGATGAATGTCACCTAAAAGATGACATAATTGGAAAATTTAACGAGTTTGTCGTGGAAAAATACCCGCTTCTCGATGTCATCATGAAGGGCGGCAAGGTCAGTTGCGCATGTGGTAAATGCGGGGATAATTTGATGACCAACATCGTGCATTTTGGAGATGGGCAAGTGCTGTGTTCGAAATGCTATGGCGCGATAAAACAGGAAGAAAGGTGTACTAACTGCAGATATTCCATGGTCGAGCATTGCATGCCTTGCTCGGAGATTCCGAAATTGCGTCAACGATACGTAAAACTTTGCCAACAACATACGGCTTCAAGACAGAAACATGAGAAACTAATAGAAGAACAGAACAACTGTGGTGAATGTCGGCAGAAATTTTTAATTTCTTCTTTATTTTGCTGTACGGCGTGCAAGGACGTGCTGCTATGCGGGACGTGCGCGGTCCGGAATCATAATGGGCATAACCTGATCGATGTGGGCATTATGAAATTAGTCGAGGTGGAGAAGAGCACGAGCCACGATATGGAGGAGCAATACGATGGTTTGAGAAGCATGGTGCGGCATGTGCACGAGAAGATTGAGGAAAACACAGAGCAACTGATTGCGGATTCGAGAAACAATGCGCGGGTAAGCTATTAGAAATTATTTAAAAATCCCACCGCCAGCCACGCGAACTGTTTCCACTCTGGCTTGGCACAGTTTTTCGAACCTATTTTTATCAAGCCATCTAAAAGAGCGTGGCCGAATTAGTCGGGTTGCATCGTTTTGAAAACTTAAAAAGTCGCTTTTTTGGTGGTTCAAATCAGGCAGTAAAGTTCCCGACCACGAAAAGCTATCTCGAAACTGCTGGACCAAATTTGCTGAAAATTTGTGAAATTACTTAATTCTAGATGGGGATAATTTCTCCACTTGATTGCAAAGCCCAACATGACTGTAACATGGTTATTTTGCGGACTAAAAACTGTTTTTCGGCATTTTCGAATTTTGGAACACCTCAGCGCAATTGTAAAACTGCATAGATGCGCCAAAGAATCCTTTGTCGAATGATGTATTATTTGGTTACGCTGAGGTGCCCCAGTTTGCTAGAATGTGATTTGTGCGCTGAAAATGCACCAAAGACGCCCCTAAAATTAAAAAAAAACTGTTAGTTAGAAAATCGCATACATCAAATTGCATCTAGTGGCCTTTACAAAAAATCCTAGCGTGCTTGCTTTAAACACGCGTGCTAATATTCCAAAGTGTTTCACAAAAAGCTGGCTTGCTGCAACATCGTCGCTTAAATGTTTTATTTCACCATTCCTCCAATTAAACTCTTCTTTAGACAATCAGCCACCAATGGTCGTACGCCGATGGGGTGGTGCTCAGCGAGGCGCTGCGGCAAAGAGCGGCTGACTTTGAAAAGAAGTTCGAGGCCTATTTTGGTCATGCCCGGATTTATAATGAAGCCGTGGTGCGTTTGGCAGAAGAGGGCGTGCGGATCACGGCGGGTTTGCAGGATATTCTCGAACCACAGTCCTTGCCCCTCCCGTTTCGATAGCCAGAATATAATCCTGAGGGTTATTGAAAGGTTCAGCAGAGCCCCGCTTATCGATTTCCACCCTTTCACGAAATATGGAATTGCTCTGCCGATTTGTATACCGTATCTCAACGACACCTTTACCTGTTCCATAAGCAATAATTATTTCGAAAGAAACCCGCATGTCGATAAATTTTCAAATCACTGTCCTCAAAAATAAACACTTCCGGCCCTTAAAACAAACAAAAGTTGATATAGGCGCGATACCTAAAAAACTGTACGGGGTCAATATGTTGAATACGTTTTGATGTTGATAGAAGAGAGGCGACGAGGTTAATTGCTGCAGGACCTTGTCGCAATGTAACCACAAAACTACATCTGCTCCCTGTTAAACTCGTGCTCGGTTTGGGCGCTGTCGGGAGCAAGGTTTCGCTGACGAGATGAAAAGACTTCTCTGCTCCCTCAGCCTAATCCGCATTCCCTCGCCGATCGCACAGCGCAATGGTAAAAAATCCGCCTGTTTACAGAAAGTACGCCGCTGTACTGTTTAGTTCCCTTACAATTGAATGGAAACTAAATTTTTAACATACAATTTCTTCCCATATTTTCTGAATTTTTAGCAAGTTTTTTGTCCGTGTTTTTCATTGCCTCTGGATTGCTCCTATTCGGTTTTTGAAAATTGTGGTAAATCTTTACCCCCGAAATCCATCCGGTTAATGAAGCTGTTGAGGAGCTTTCAGATTGTTAAAAAAACAAGACATCTTGGCTGACGGACAATTACCATTGAACTACCGATACAACGAGGCCTAGTGTTCCTCCCATTCAGCTTTTTCCAAAAATAAACGCTCTCCATATTTTCCGATAATTTTTAACCGACCTATGCTCTAGATATGCTGCTCGAATGCTTCAACTGCCCGAGCTGCTCGCGCCCATTTAGGACAACCCGGCAGCCTTACGATCCGGACAACAACTATAAATGTCAAGACTGTCACACAGTGCTACGGCTACGGTAATATTGATAAATGGTAGACATGTTGGCACATGTTCGGGAGTGGCTTTCTCAATTAATTTGTCGTTCTTATTCTCACACGGATCTAAACAACTTTAGGTGGGATCACCTGAACGCACTTCTCGAACAACCCAACCTAAAGCGAACACGGCATGGGTGGGTTGCGGTCGGTCCATTGGTCGAGCTCACTTGCGAGAACTGTTCGTCCCCTCTAGACTGTACCCTGGAGGTGAATCAATGCTGTCGCACTCGGCTCCTTTGCAAGAAATGCATTCCGAACGTAGGTGAAATCGATATTATGTCCATCTGAAAATCCGGGCAAAAAGACAAATCATGTTTTTCAGTGCTACTATTGCCACCATTCTGGCGAAACAGTCTGTCCCATCTCAACAGCCGTGCTCATCAAGTACATGGCATTGGCAAAGAAGGTGCGGGACGCCATCGAAAAGCTAGCCGCATTCTCGGAGCCTGGCATGGCCCAGAAGCCTACCTGTACGCGATGCCAGAAGCGTTTAGGGCCGGCCAGGAACCGGCTCGTAGTAGCGTGTTCCAGCGTCTTCTGCCCCGAATGTTACTACGAGACCGATCTACAGAAAGAGTGTCATCTTTGCGAGCTCCCCTTCTCAATGCATGTCTATCTGAGCCAAGGACTTTCCGACCAAAACAACAGAAAAGGAAGCCCTCGGCTCAAACAGGAAACTAAGAAGGAAAAATTACCGGAGAATTTAAGTGAAGAAATTACAGCTAAAGGCAGTGATGAGAAAGAAGACGAAGTCGAGCCATTGCAGCTCGAAAAGGAAACGATAGAATCCACAGAAGACCTGATGACACCATGCCAAGGATGCGGCGAAGAATCTCTAGCGTCAAAAATGTTCTCCTGCGTCAATTGCAATAATTCAATCCTCTGTGGCACATGTTCGGTTCGTCAACATCGAACTCACGAGTTGGTAGACGTGGGGTCGGAGAAGTTGAAGAAGCTTGAACAGCAAACCATGGAAGCAGTGGAGCAGCAGTATGATGGACTGAAGGGGATGGTTATACACATCCACGAGAAAATTGCGGAAAATATGAAGCGCTTGGCCGAGGAGGCGGTCGAGAATTCAAGGGTTGGTCGGGCTTTCATGTTTTACGGGCAGACGCAGGTAATTTGGTTCTGGTTCATTATCGGGGGAGGTAAATAAGCCTGGAAATCGGGTTGATAAGTTATTTTTCTGGATTTTCGATGTTTTTCGACATTCTGTTAACGCGATCTGGAAAATTAAGAGCATTAAGCAAATACTAAGAGTTTTACATGCCACTCAAAATAATGTAATTTAAGTTGAGAGAAGCTATTGAAAGAACATGCCCCCACCCCCGATAACGAACCAGAACCAAAAAAATCTAGGTTTCCGGAAGTTTGCTTGATCCAAGAAAGAGATTCTCGGTTTTTAGGGAACGCATTTGAATTATAAGTTTAAAGTATGTTTAGAGCGAGACCAGGCAAACCTGCATACTTTCATTTTAGTTGATCTCGGCGCAAAACATCTATGCCGATGGTCTCTCGATCAGCGACACTTTGAGAGAAAAAGCGGACGCTTTCGAGAGACACTTTGAGGTAAGAGTTTGCATTCGGAATTTACAAAGTTTTTTTTTACGTTACGTAGTAAATTTGAGCTACTACGCAATATAATTTACGGATTCCAGGAATACCTGCCCCTCGCTCGAATCTACAACGAGAAGTTGACGGACCTCGCCGACCAGAATCAAGCGTTGATCCGCCAATTCAAGAAGGGTCTCGCCATTGCTGAGAGCCCAGAGAAGAGCGAAGAGGCGGAAGTGTCTACCCGGTCTGATGGGGATCCGCACGACACCTCAAGACCAAGAACGGCCCAAAGAATTCAAAAAAAAACGTAAATGACGCCTTTCCCATCAAATTGTGTGACCTGGCCTTTTCCAGCTAAATAAACGAATTTTAAGAACTTTTGCGTCCCGAAAGACATTTCAAACAAGCAATTTTTAGCCTGTGCCTAAAATTCGTTGACGTTGACTTTCTGCGCAAGTCCGCTAGTGTAGGCAAACACTTCCATCGTTAATGTTTGGTAAATGGCCGGTCATGGTGCCGTCTGCGTCGCGGCCCCGCCAACTTAATTTCGGCCAGGGCAGATGCCAAAGAATTTGAAAGATTTCTTTCTTACTTATCGTTATCAATCTTTACTTATCTATCGCCAATTTATTTTAACATTGAATATCACAAAAGTCTTGACTGATGACTTTCCGTTATCCGTAGGCGCGTAAATTGGTGTCTTACGTTTTTCGGTTTTTCGAAAACGTCTCCGTGTGCGCGTGGCATTTTAACAATTTTGTTTCAATTTCCCATCACATTTCGCCTATTTCCGCCATTTTAAGCGATGTAAAGATGGGAATGGATGTTTTGTGGTCGGGCGCCCCCCAAAAAAGTTTTGCATATCTCGCGCCATCATATAAATTGAGCGAAAAGTAGCTCCGCAGGCGATAATTTTTCATAAAGAAAATAGCTAGATTAAGTATGCACGAGATTTTGGGATACTTATCATTTGAATATAGACGATGTCCCAAAAAATCGACCCCTCGGGCTAACAAATGCGGTAAAACGAAAGCGCTTCTTTCTCGCCTTTTCGAGGGCTTTCGAATGGTGTAAAAATTATCCCGATCAAAGCTTAATCCGGCCCGCTAGAGAGGGGCTCGATTTTTTTGGACACCCTGTAAATTCTTTGTTTTCAGGAATGCTGCTCGAGTGCTTCAATTGCCCAAAATGTTCGCTTCCATATGACCGAACTGGCCTTCCGCGTGCGCCTGTCTACCCTGCGTTCACTCCGCCAGATATATTGTGTGGAATGTGTGCGCCGCTTGCTCAGCCAGCCGAATTAGTCCCTCTACTCTTCGAACAACCTAACCTGAAACAAACCCCGAAGGGTTGGGTGGCTGTGGGCCCATTGGACCCATTCGTTTGCGGCTGTGGCAAGCCGTGGCCCAAACCCCACGCGTCCTATTGCTGTCGCCGGATCGGATGCGAGCAGTGTTGTGCTGCGGTGGACGGGAAATGTTCGGCAAGTTTTTTAACCATAGTTTTGTCGTCTCCTAGCTGTAGTCCTTTTATGGTCGAAGTTGAAATTCGATACGTGAGATAGCCCATTCGAAAAAGCCCATTTTTTTTACCCTGGGAGATGCCTTAATTTTACCCCAAAAGTATTCCACGAAATTTTTAGAAGACATTTTTAGAAGAATTTTAGAAAGTCACTAATTTGCAGAGTTTTGGGGATTAAAAACACTTGTAACTTTTTAATCTCGGGATTGCTAACGGATTCGGAATCAGCGAAAAATTCTGCACGAGATTTGCCAACCCACGTACCGAATTTCCACTTCAACCATAAAAGGGTTACAATAAGTCGCATTAAGAACCTTAAGAGAGTCGATGAATGATGTCAGGACCCACGGATATTAGACTCCCGGTCCCTGGATCAAGCACTTTTTCAGTTCTGCAACCACGATTACCGCGGGGCAATATCCGATGGTTCTTACGGCCTTACGACGCTGCTCGGCACTTATCGTCGCTATGTCGACCTGTACAATGAGGCCAACGAAAATGTCAAGAAGAGCCTGAGCGGCGAGTTAATCCAGAAGTCGCTATGCGGCAAATGCAAGAAGCGAATCGGGCAGGTCGAGGATCGGTTGGTGATATCGTGTACCAGCATCCTCTGCTCGGATTGCTACTACACAGCTGGCACACAGGCCTTGTGTCATGTTTGCCATGAAACACCGAATTCGCATCTGATGCCCGGACGAGCACTTTTGGAAGGCTGGAAATCCGGGAAAGCTGTCGTCCCTAAACCTTGGCCTCCAAAAGATGAAGCCCACGCGGATTCCGTTTCTGAAGGAGGAGAAACATTCGAAATTCTGCAACTAAAGGAATGCTTCGAAGATGCCGACGATCGAATGGTTCGCTGCCATGGATGCCGCGAAACATGCTTGGCCTCGCAAATGTTTTCGTGTGTTAGCTGCGACAATTCGATTCATTGTGGCACTTGTTCGATGCGCGAGCATCGGGCTCACCAGGTGGTGGACATCGGCCTGGAGAAGTTGAAGAAACTCGAGGAGCAAACGGCGGGTGCTGTCGAGCAGCAGTATGATGGAGTGAAGGGCATGGTTCGGCTCATCCACGAGCAAATTGACGAGAATGTGAAGCGGTTGGCCAAGGAGGCGATCGATAATTCGAAGGTTGGTTTTGGAGCTTTTGCGAAATTGTGTTGGTGCGGAACAAAATGTCTGTTTTTTTTCAGGTGATTTCAACGCAAAAGGTCTACTCAAATGGTGTCACGATCAGTGATGCTCTGCGCAAGAACGCCGACGATTTCGAGAAGCATTTCGAGGTATTGTTACTCGGGGGCTGGGCTGTTAGCGGGGGCGGGAAACCAAATTTTGCTCTATGATTCTCTACGGCCCTATGACAAAATATAAACCATTTTTATAGCATTTTGCTAGTTCTTAGATATAAAAACATTCTAAAAATAAGAAAATTTTCCAAACGGTTTGGCTTTTTGGTCAAAAATGTATGAAAAATGACAAAAATTGATAACCTATTGGAATCTTTAAAAACTATAAAATAGTTTTTCAAACTTTCGAGCAATCAGAAACTGCTAAAAACACTTTAAAAAAGGTCATATATCATCAACAGGTAGATGCGGGTGGAAAAACAGAAAATGGTTGCCCTGCTAAAAATCCCACCCCCGCTAACAGTCCGGAACCATCACTTGTATCCGATGTTGTTAGCCGTTTTTTCATAGTGAAAACCTCAAATGTCTCTGCTAATCGACGCAAATTAATGATCAATTCGCAATAGTGAATTCCAGGACTACCTGCCCTGCGCTCGAATCTACAATGAAAAACTGATGGAGCTGGCCGATGAAAATCGTACGTTGATGCACGAGTTTAAAGAAGATCTCTCCATTTCCACAATTTCGGAGAATAGTGACACAGAAGCTGGTCAAGTCGTTGAGACTTCGGCAGAGCCTGTGAAAGACGACTCGTTTTCCTAAACCCGTTCCTTTTCGATTTTTTTTGCTGCAGTTTCTGCCTGCTTACGAAATTATGATTCTTTATATAAACTTCTCAACCAAGCCCAATTAATCGACTTTCCGGGCTTTTATGTTTTTTTTCTGTTACAAAAATTCAAAAGTGGAATCCCGAATAAATATTGTTTTATCGTATAAAAGCGAGACTTCACAACCACTTCACAATACTGATATCACATTTTTTTAAACTGTTCACGATATTTTGCTAGCAAATTTGAATAAAGCAAAAAAGAGAGAAATGAAACCTGAGGATACATAGACGAACACAACCACACAAGAATCTCAAAAGTCTATGAACTTATTATGCAAAAGATTTGGGCTTTGGCAGTGGGGCAAAATTTGGGATAGTTTTAGTGACCGTAATTCAAGAAAAAAAAGATTGGTACAAAGACGATTTTTGGAGCAAGTGATTCGGGTCTACTGTGTTTTCCAGATGGAAAGGCCGATATAAGCGACCCAGAGGAGGATGAAGAAAACGCCGCATGCGATTTTCGGACCTGGTGGCCCGCCGAGTTCTCCTTTTCCGAAAACGGCCAGCATTCTGCGGGCGACCAAGACGATGAGGAAGATGATGGAGAAGACTGTGAAAACAGCAACGCTAAAAATTGGACTTGATTTTTGCATTTTTTGTAATGAATAGAGAAAAAGCGAGGAAGTGATAGAGAGCGAGAGAAAGTCAGAATGGGAGAGAGAGAGAGAGAGAGTGAGAGAGAGAGAGAAAGAAAGGGAAGGAGGGGAGAGAGTTTTCTAAATTCTACGCACCTAAAGCCTAGGTCCCCAGCCTTCACGACGAAAGGTTGGCCCTTGTCGCACCAGTAGAAGGCGGCGACCAACCAGGGAAGACCCAGACCGAGGAAGACGTTCACAGAGTTCGAGCCGGTCACGTTTCCGACCGCATTATCAGCGGAATCATCCTAAAATTGACTATGCTAGTTATATAAAATATATCTGCGCAATAGTTCATTAAAAAAGCTTGGTCACTAACGTTTTCAGCAGCGATTTTGCTCGCAAAAGTATCCGGCAGTGACGTTCCAAGCGCTACTAATGTAATGGCCGTGATGGCGTCCGGCATTCCGACCATACAACCGAAGATTGAAGCAATGTCGCCTGAATAACGATTATTAGCTTACGCCGGTAATTCAGAAGCTTGAGAAAATCATGATGCCGATTTCTAACCTACCTACGACGGCCGTCACCAATCCGATGGCTATTAATGCGACAACGAAACACAACCAGCCGCCCATCATCATTGGCGGCGGGACGAAGGCGAAGGCGAACTAAAGACGACTTGAAATTCTATTGAGACATTGATTTAAACATTTTTGGTTACAAAAATCTTATTATAATCGTGAATAATAAATACCAGTATTCAAAATTGCAGCTTGACACGGTAAATTAATCATCCCACCTTATATAATTTGGTCGCGTATGTGTGTGTGTGTGTGTGGATGTCACTTTCGAGGCCCGATTTGAGGGCGTTCCCGTGTCCAAAATGCCCTAATTCTCCGTCACCCGGGGGAATCGACCCTTCTGTTTCCGATGGCGTTCTCAGAATTTTGATAAAATACAAGTTTACAAAGTTAAGGCCGGTTTTATTCATTTTTGGGGGTCCGGGAGGGCTAATTTGCATAATGCGAGAAAATACAAATTTCCTCATTCTTGCCAGTTGCACTCGCGCGTTTGGCTGCCTCATTGGAGCTGCCTCCGATTGCCTTTGCTCCCCTTTCCCGGCGGTCACCTCGGGGGATATAAGGGCTGTTGCGCGCGCCCTCAAGCATTTCATGGTATAGCGGTTAGAGCGTCAGCCTGCCAATCTTGCTATCGGGGGTTCGATCCCCGGCCATCGTATTTTTTTTTACTTTATGCTCGGAATGCATGTTTCGAAGTGTATTTTCCTGTAGGGAGGCGCTATTCTGAAGTCAGTCGCTCTAAACTGCGTCGCAGGCTAACGAATCCAGACAGGCACTGAAACTAGCGCCGCAGGCTAAAGATTCAGGCTAATCCCTCAAGCTAGCGCCGCAGGCTTTAGAACGAAGCAAGCCGCACAAGCTAGCGCCGCAGGCTTTAGAACGAAGCAAGCCGCACAAGCTAGCGCCGCAGGCTTCAGAACGAAGCTAGCCGCACAAGCTAGCGCCGCAGGCTTCAGAACGAAGCTAGCCGCACAAGCTAGCGCCGCAGGCTTCAGAACGAAGCTAGCCGCACAAGTTAGCGCCGCAGGCTTTAGAACGAAGCTAGCCGCACAAGCTAGCGCCGCAGGCTTCAGAACGAAGCTAGCCGCACAAGCTAGCGCCGCAGGCTTTAGAACGAAGCTAGCCGCACAAGCTAGCGCCGCAGGCTTTCAGAACGAAGCTAGCCGCACAAGCTAGCGCCGCAGGCTTTAGAACGAAGCTAGCCGCACAGCTAGCGCCGCAGGCTTTAGAACGAAGCTAGCCGTACAAGCCAGCGCCGCAGGCTTCAGAACGAAGCCAGCCGCACAAGCTAGCGCCGCAGGCTTCAGAACGAAGCTAGCCGCACAAGCTAGCGCCGCAGGCTTCAGAACGAAGCTAGCCGCAAGTTAGCGCCGCAGGCTTTAGAACGAAGCTAGCCGCACAAGCTAGCGCCGCAGGCTTCAGAACGAAGCTAGCCGCACAAGCTAGCGCCGCAGGCTTTAGAACGAAGCTAGCCGCACAAGCTAGCGCCGCAGGCTTCAGAACGAAGCTAGCCGCACAAGCTAGCGCCGCAGGCTTTAGAACGAAGCTAGCCGCACAGCTAGCGCCGCAGGCTTTAGAACGAAGCTAGCCGTACAAGCCAGCGCCGCAGGCTTCAGAACGAAGCCAGCCGCACAAGCTAGCGCCGCAGGCTTCAGAACGAAGCTAGCCGCACAAGCTAGCGCCGCAGGCTTCAGAACGAAGCTAGCCGCACAAGTTAGCGCCGCAGGCTTTAGAACGAAGCTAGCCGCACAAGCTAGCGCCGCAGGCTTCAGAACGAAGCTAGCCGCACAAGCTAGCGCCGCAGGCTTTAGAACGAAGCTAGCCGCACAAGCTAGCGCCGCAGGCTTTCAGAACGAAGCTAGCCGCACAAGCTAGCGCCGCAGGCTTTAGAACGAAGCTAGCCGCACAGCTAGCGCCGCAGGCTTTAGAACGAAGCTAGCCGCACAAGCTAGCGCCGCAGGCTTTAGAACGAAGCTAGCCGCACAAGCTAGCGCCGCAGGCTTCAGAACGAAGCTAGCCGCACAAGCTAGCGCCGCAGGCTTCAGAACGAAGCTAGCCGCACAAGCTAGCGCCGCAGGCTTCAGAACGAAGCTAGCCGCACAAGTTAGCGCCGCAGGCTTTAGAACGAAGCTAGCCGCACAAGCTAGCGCCGCAGGCTTCAGAACGAAGCTAGCCGCACAAGCTAGCGCCGCAGGCTTTAGAACGAAGCTAGCCGCACAAGCTAGCGCCGCAGGCTTCAGAACGAAGCTAGCCGCACAAGCTCTTTAGAACGAAGCTAGCCGCACAAGCTAGCGCCGCAGGCTTCAGAACGAAGCTAGCCGCACAAGCTAGCGCCGCAGGCTTTAGAACGAAGCTAGCCGCACAGCTAGCGCCGCAGGCTTTAGAACGAAGCTAGCCGTACAAGCCAGCGCCGCAGGCTTCAGAACGAAGCCAGCCGCACAAGCTAGCGCCGCAGGCTTCAGAACGAAGCTAGCCGCACAAGCTAGCGCCGCAGGCTTCAGAACGAAGCTAGCCGCACAAGCTAGCGCCGCAGGCTAAGGAATGAATCCAACCTTTGAAGCTAGCGTCGCAGGCTTAAAGAAGGAGGTAGCCGTTCAAATTGCGCCGCAGGCTTTCTCTTGAAGCAAGCCGCTGAAGCTGGCGCGATAGGCCAAAAAAGGAGGCTAATCCCTCAAGCTTTGGCCGCAGGATGAGATGGCGTCCTAGCCGATGAAACATGCGCCGCAGGCCTAATAACGAGACTAACAGTTCAAGCTTGCGCCGCATGCCAGTACAAAGAGGTTTGCATGGAAGATGGGTTTTTCTTTCTTAAAGGTAACTTTATGTGCAAGGCCGCTCGATTAATAGGGCCTAGACGGGATCCAGCGGGGGAGAGTCGCGAAGCGGCTCCTCCCCCGCTGGATTTTTTTTTGCTTTTCGATTTTTTTTGATTTTTTTTGCATTGATCGATTTTTTTTGCTGCAGTTTCTGCCTGCTTACGAAATTATGATTCTTTATATAAACTTCTCAACCAAGCCCAATTAATCGACTTTCCGGGCTTTTATGTTTTTTTTCTGTTACAAAAATTCAAAAGTGGAATCCCGAATAAATATTGTTTTATCGTATAAAAGCGAGACTTCACAACCACTTCACAATACTGATATCACATTTTTTTAAACTGTTCACGATATTTTGCTAGCAAATTTGAATAAAGCAAAAAAGAGAGAAATGAAACCTGAGGATACATAGACGAACACAACCACACAAGAATCTCAAAAGTCTATGAACTTATTATGCAAAAGATTTGGGCTTTGGCAGTGGGGCAAAATTTGGGATAGTTTTAGTGACCGTAATTCAAGAAAAAAAAGATTGGTACAAAGACGATTTTTGGAGCAAGTGATTCGGGTCTACTGTGTTTTCCAGATGGAAAGGCCGATATAAGCGACCCAGAGGAGGATGAAGAAAACGCCGCATGCGATTTTCGGACCTGGTGGCCCGCCGAGTTCTCCTTTTCCGAAAACGGCCAGCATTCTGCGGGCGACCAAGACGATGAGGAAGATGATGGAGAAGACTGTGAAAACAGCAACGCTAAAAATTGGACTTGATTTTTGCATTTTTTGTAATGAATAGAGAAAAAGCGAGGAAGTGATAGAGAGCGAGAGAAAGTCAGAATGGGAGAGAGAGAGAGAGAGAGAGAGGAGAGAGAGAGAGAAAGAAAGGGAAGGAGGGAGAGAGAGTTTTCTAAATTCTACGCACCTAAAGCCTAGGTCCCCAGCCTTCACGACGAAAGGTTGGCCCTTGTCGCACCAGTAGAAGGCGGCGACCAACCAGGGAAGACCCAGACCGAGGAAGACGTTCACAGAGTTCGAGCCGGTCACGTTTCCGACCGCATTATCAGCGGAATCATCCTAAAATTGACTATGCTAGTTATATAAAATATATCTGCGCAATAGTTCATTAAAAAAGCTTGGTCACTAACGTTTTCAGCAGCGATTTTGCTCGCAAAAGTATCCGGCAGTGACGTTCCAAGCGCTACTAATGTAATGGCCGTGATGGCGTCCGGCATTCCGACCATACAACCGAAGATTGAAGCAATGTCGCCTGAATAACGATTATTAGCTTACGCCGGTAATTCAGAAGCTTGAGAAAATCATGATGCCGATTTCTAACCTACCTACGACGGCCGTCACCAATCCGATGGCTATTAATGCGACAACGAAACACAACCAGCCGCCCATCATCATTGGCGGCGGGACGAAGGCGAAGGCGAACTAAAGACGACTTGAAATTCTATTGAGACATTGATTTAAACATTTTTGGTTACAAAAATCTTATTATAATCGTGAATAATAAATACCAGTATTCAAAATTGCAGCTTGACACGGTAAATTAATCATATTGTAATAAACCTACCTTCCACGGGAAAGCCAATCCATGCAATACGCAATCGAGTACAGTAGCGTTGGCGACATCTCCAGAATTCACCGAAGCGGCGTTGATGATTTGTTCACGCCACGTTGCCTGCAAGATTAAGGTATTTTATAGATTTTCCGCTTAAACAAAAATTTTGAAAGGATTTAATTCACCCTACCTGTCCAGGCGTCATTCGCTTCAAATAGTAGCCGACCAATTTTCTGGTATTTGTTATGTTCTTCAAGACATTGTCGTCCGAAATGATTGTCACGATTGTGCGTTTTTTGTTTCCGATTGTAGTTTCTAAATTTTTCACTCTAAGAGAGTCTTTTTTACACGCTAAAACGTTTAACAAACCGCATTTTCTCTTGGCTAGATCGCATAAACTGTATAATTAGTCCATTAAGTGAACTTACCCCGATCCTCAGTTCCTAGCAGCTCGACCGAAAAGGTTTCATCTTTTTCATCATCCTTGTCATCAACGACTTCAACATCGATGTATTTTTCGTATTCTTGTCCCCTGAAAGTCGATAAAACCTGAAATGACGGCTAAAGCTTACTTGAAATATAACAACGCATTCTTGTACGGAACATAATCTTCATTGGCATTTGCCGTGATGTCTTCAGTTTCGAAGCGTACGCCAACGTCATGTGGAGCCTTGGTCTTTCCCCTCTTTGTGATGAAGACCCGCACCCAGCCACAGTTTTCTTTGCAAACCTAAAAAGGTGGATAATGGATGAAAATGGATAGTATCTAAGAGATACCTTAAATAATATAAGCCGAAACTTACATAGTTGCCCTTGACAAATTCAACATTCGGCGTTCCACTAAATGACGTCGTATCCTCGGGACATTTGACGTGAGCGATATTGCATTCACCAAGCTTCGTTTTGCCGCCCTCGTCCTGGTCCTAAAACTATCTTTGCTTCCGTGGTTCAATCGTTTCAAGCCGTTTCTCAAAACACGGACACAGCAGTTGCCTTCAAACCCGCAAGAACCGCCGAGAAAACTACAAAAACTACAAAATACAACAAACAAATCAAGCAAAAAACGATACGACAATTATAGCAAACCCAAGAATTGAATTGGAAGACTCTAAATAGGTGATTCGTTCCTTTTTAATTTTCCTACGTACCACAATTTTGAGATGAACATAAAAAACGGTGTTTGGCCTCCAATCCGCTCCATCGACCAAATCGATGACGATGTCTTTTTGCATTTCCTGGGGTGCGAAGCGCAGGTTTTCGATCTGAACGGTATCATGATTAGATAAAAGTAAACTACCGTTTTGAGTTTATTATGTCTATAACCGTAATGTCACGACGTATCAAGAAGTCCTACTTTAGGTAAATAGTGCAAATCCTTCTTGCCAATGCCATCCACGGTACTGTAGTTCAGCGTCAGGGCTGCGTCACTGTTACCTCTGCGGATCACCTAAAATCATTTTATTTTTGTAAAGGTTTTTTCCCAATCAGAGGATCGTGCTCCTAAAAATTAAACATACCGACAGCTTGACCTTCTTATCTTGAGGATAGACAGCGTAGACACGTGCCGTGAACTCGATGCGCGGCTTCAATTCTGGAACCAGATTTTTTAAACGTGGCTCGAACTCACTTTGAGACGTATGATCCGGGCTGACCGCTTCTTTCTCCTCCAATTCCTGGACTTCCTTCTCCTCGTCCGTCTTCTTCCAGGAAGACGTCAATTGACGAATGGCGCGAATACGGTAGTAGAGACGGTCGCGGACCTGAAAAACGGTGAAAAGTGAGATTTATGGTACCTGAATGACGACGACACCCATTTGCTACAGAATCCAAATTGAACCATTCAACCAACCTTATTCTGGTTTAGCCGGTACGCCAGAATCTTGGCCTGGTCATCGGCTTCAAGCCCTGGGTAGACTCGAGCGACATCTCGGGCCATTTTCCGGACGTCACCCTCTTCTGGAGCCGGAAGAGCGTCGAGGACTGACTGAAAACCGAGCTGAGTACGAGTATAAGGTAATTTACCTCCCCATCAACATAACTGAGTCGTCGTGCAACATTCCGAATTTCGACGTCAAGATTCTTCGACGGTTTCTTAGAGGTACGGTCCTAAGATTGATCTTCATCTTTGAACTATCTCGATCTCGGTCAAAAAAAACTTTAAAATTCTCACCTCAATATCCTGCAATTCCGTCTCCAGATTTGCCTTCTTGTTCTTATTCCAAATCTCGATGTCAACACAGTAAGAAGCTATGACGAGGATGCCGAAGAACAATAGCGTCAGGATGGCTTCCCAGAGCTCGACGACGTCCGGAGAGATCCATGCCAGGACCTAGAGCACACAAATGACGGATTATCCAAAAGAGCTACTATGACTTACAATTAAAAGCCAAATATAGGCAAAGGTTCCGAAGAAGGCCGTCACGCAGAACACTTTGAAGAGTGCAATTCGTTTGGTTTTCTTGCCGACGGTGAGGACACAGATTGCGGAGATGCAGAACAGGTTGAAGGCGGCCGAGCCTGAATTTGAGGGTTTTCAGAATTTGAAGGATTCCATTCAAATTTTTAAAGCAATTTTTGCGGCTATAAAATTATTGTAACTTGCCAACAATCGTGCCGGGACCCAAATCTCCGGAATGGAATTTGTTTCCAACGATTTCGATGATGGAGAGCAGGATTTCTGGAGCGGAACTTCCTAGCGCCTAGAAACAAGAGAAAATAGCTTTTTTTAAGCGAATACTTACCATTAATGTTAGGTTTGCCACCGTTGGATTCCACACCCGCACCTCCTCATATTCCTCCGGTTGATCCGGCTGATTACCCGCGGCCACGAGCTTGCCGGATTCTTGTTTGATCTTGATTTTTCTAAAAATGGCGATACTTTTTGACACTGCCTACGTCCGAATCACGATCAACTATAATAATTTTGCTGTGGTCTCCGTCTGTCCGTCTGTCCGTCTGTCTGTCTGAAGCCGAATTCAACTCGAAGGGGAAAGGAGCTAGAGCTTAGCTCTCTTCGGATTCGGATAGAGCGTGGTCAGAAACCCCCAAACTGATAAAAAAATTATGAAAAAGTTTTCGTTTAAATTATTAAAATTAACTTTGAAAGTTTTTTCCTTAGTAAAAGGGGTGGGGGCCCCTCTCCCGGGAGGCCACGCCCCTTTTCCCCTCGCCCCTCTTCGCCAGGCCCCTTCGCGCGCCCAGATCGCTTTCTTAAGTTACTTTAATACTTTTAATACTTTTTAATACTTTTTAATTATGTTAATTAATTATTTAAATCATCTAAAGCCATCGGGAAGGTATTTAGGTAGTTTTTGAAGGGGATTTCAGCCATGGGGGGTATCTAAAGCCATCGGGAAGGTAAAGTTACTTTAATACTTTTTAATTATGTTAATTAATTATTTAAATCATCTAAAGCCATCGGGCAGGTATTTAGGTAGTTTTTGAAGGGGATTTCAGCCATGGGGGTTATCTAAAGCCATCGGGAAGGTATTTAGGTAGTTTTTGAAGGGGATTTCAGCCATGGGGGGTATCTGAAGCCATCAGGGAGGTATCGAAGTAGTTTTTTAAGGGATTTCAGCCATGGGGGGTATCTGAAGCCATCAGGGAGGTATCGAAGTAGTTTTTTAAGGGGATTTCAGCCATGGGGGGTATCTGAAGCCATCAGGGAGGTATCGAAGTAGTTTTTTAAGGGGATTTCAGCCATGGGGGGTATCTGAAGCCATCAGGAAGGTATTTAGGTAGTTTTTAAAGGGGATTTCAGCCATGGGGGGTATCTGAAGCCATCAGGGAGGTATCGAAGTAGTTTTTAAGGGGATTTCAGCCGTGGGGGGTATGGAAGTAGCTTTTTAAGGCGTTTTCAGCCATGGGGGGTATCTGAAGCCGTCAGGAAGGTATTTAGGTAGTTTTTGGAGGGGATTGCATGAAGGGTAGCCCGAAGGCCAGATGGTTACAGTCGCGAAGCGACTGGAACCATCTGGTTTTTTTACGGTTTCTTGCGGCTTTGAAATTGAGACGTACTTTAAATTCAAGGAAAACCAGAACCTACTTGGTTTTCGACGTAATCTTCTCGATGGCGCACATAAAAATGTCGGCCGCGATGGCGATACCGAGAAAACAGTACAACAACCCGGCCAGGTAGATGAACGCATTGCGGTTCGAGGTGGCCAGGGCCGGGATTAGGATTCCGTCACGGCATTGATGCGAGACGTTGACCATTCCCCGAATGGACAGTTATTACCTGAAAATATACCAAGATTACCTTAGTAAAGCCGGTTAAGCAAAGTTGCAGATAAAATGGCAGAAAATCTGTCCGAAAAATTATTAAAAATTACGTTTGTGGCAAACTAGCATAGTTTATTTCAGAAAGCGAGCTTTCCCAACTAGCGGGAAATCACGATACAATCAAAATCGCAATTTAAGACATGTTCGCTCGAATTTAAGGTGGTTTTTGAGACATTGAGGGCCCGTAATCCACAGAAATTTTCGAACCTGACCCACCATCCGGCAAAATCCCAAAAAACAGTAACGACAAATTTGCGCAGGCGCCGCAAAACACTCAAAACCCGTTCTAGGCCCCCATAGAAAAAAACGTTTTAGGATGGTTCTCGTGGAGGTCGAATGAGTCAGGATGGAAAAATGGATGGACCGCGGGAAAAAGTGGAGGCAATTTTGGACGGCGGCACGGAATTTTGGGGCATGCAAGGTTAAAAAACTACTTTATGTGAAAATATTCAGGAGAAGTTCTTAATTTACAACTAGTATATAGTTTATATATAACAAAATCACCGCAGGTGGATAAGGCGCCGCCAGTTTAATTGTCTTCAGCGTTAACTTAAAAAGTTCTGAAAGTGTCTATGTATCTGAAAAACCTTGCTATCAATTTACAGGGAACTTAATCATAAAAATACATAAATAATAAAAAAGAAATATTCAGGCTTTGTGATATTTATTAAATTCCGGGCGAATGCAATTTAAGCTACAAAAATTTCAGAATAACGAGTCAAAAACGTTTAAAGACCAATTTATGATAAAAAGAAGTTTTATACAAGATCTAAATTTCAAAAAACGTGGTATTCAGTTAGGTTTATCACTCTCGAAATCACTCATCAAAGGAAAACTGACCGCCCGGCTTCAACCTGGGCCAAGAAAGTTTATTTTTCGCCTAGCACGGAGCAAACAAGAATCGACTCTTTTTCGGAGTCGAAAAAGATGCCGCACAGCCCCATGAAAAGCTGAAAAGAACGGCAAAAGAAACCCCAAATGTGTCCAATTTTTGGATCGATGCCAGCCACAAAAAACTGAGAATTCTGGCGGAATCGGCTCCCAACCCTGAATTAGTCAGTTCGGGCTGCGTGTAGTGGGCGGGCGGAAATTAATTTTCCCGGGCGGTGGAGAACGGGGCTTTTGCGGAGAAACTTTTTTGAATGGTACGGCGGATTGGGTTTCGATGTGCAAATTTGTCGAGTTGGATGAGTGGAGGGAGGGTGTCGATCAAAAACATACTTTGGTTTAGGAAAAGGCTGGTAGGCGTTTTGGCAAGTGCAAAACCATGGAGACCGCGCATTTTTGGGACATTATGCCGTTTTTACCTTTAGAAGGCCTAACGCTTATTTAACTACGGTATTAAAAAAGTTCTAATAGATGAGTTTTAAAAAGCAAAAAAATAATAGCGAAAAATTGTTTTTTTTTCAGTACTCGAATGGAATTTACTGTAAAAACAGCATTTTTCGACTTCTGATCTAAAAGATGATTTGGAATTTATATGCATTTGAATCACAGCAAGTGCGCGGATCGCCCCTACTAGAAAATGCATTAGTGGGGAGGGAAGGGATTTGTCACGTAAGGAAAGGACATTCAAGGCTGCAATCTTATCATAGAGACCGACATGGTGCGTCAAAAGTGTTTTACACCTTTTGTACGCTCATAAAAAGGGCATAAATCGTTTTATATGTGGACAATTACTTTTCGGCCGCAAAAGTTATAGAAAATAAGATTAGCTGAGTTGGCTCTTCGGGTCAGAATTGTCAAAAGTTTTTTAAAAGAAGAAATTTTACAAACAAACGGGAATAAAACGCGAATAAAACGATGGAATAGTTCTTGAAGTATTGTCAAATGTGACAAAGCCACGCATAAACGCATTACAAATCCTTGGAAAGCTTTTTAGGCGATCAAAAAGTAATGAATACCAAATCCAGACGTGTTCAAAGTTCGCAAAAAGTCAGGTATAACGGTCCGCGCAAAGTGGCCCGCGCGTAGCATGTTGAAATGAACTGTACGCAAGCGCGCGCGTTGAGGTTTGCCCTTGAAGGGTCATTGAGGTGACGGGGAGGCCTGGGGATGGTTTTGGGTGGATGGTGGAGGTCGTGCTCGGTCACTATAGGCAGCGAATGGTCGAGCCGCGCGGATATTTGTTCAGCCCCTACCTCCTCGACCCACAGGATGCCTTCCTGACACGACAAACATCCGAGGCAAAATGGCAACACAGTGCCTCTGCCTGGCTAATCTCGCCTAGTGAATACATGGAGCAGTTGAACAAGCTGCGCGGGAATCTGGGTATAGAATTTGGGCCGGGATCTGGTTTAAAGGGAGGGGCAAGGCAGAAACATAGATTTTATTGACCATCGATTATTGGGGGCTATAGAGCCAGCGCGATACGCAACGCGCATACGAGCCGACCTCATTTTTAGTGTCGTAATCGATTACGCAAGCAAAAGCTCGGACCATGCGTTGCGTGTCACGGCGAAGAAGATTCAGACTGAAATCGGCATAAAACCGATTTTTGTTGACCGCGACACGAAACGCGCGTCGCAGTATTTTTGTATTCGATTACGGCAGCGTAACCAAATTAAAACTTGGTGCGCGTTGCGTGAAGCGGGCCGCGCAGATAGCAAAAATTTAATAGGGGAAAGTCCAACAAATTTCGTAGTTAAATGCCATCTTTTTTTTAAACAAAGCAAACGCAAAACGGCAATCGGAAATCGTCAGGCACTATTTTAATGTTTAGAAAAAGTCGTAGCATTTGTCAAAGTTTAGTTTAACTAATTTTAACAAATGCAAAGGCATGCAAATTTATAAGACAACTGATCGCAACCCTTAGTTCAATTGGATTGTTTCTTTCAAAAAGGAAAGTGTAGGTAGAAAAGAAAAGAAACGAAATTAAAAAAGGTCTTTTTTTTCTAGGCTAAAAAGACGGTTCCTCTTGTTTCTTTGTTGTCTGTGCTCTGGCCCTCTGGTCCCTCAAAAGACCCAACCTCCCCCTTGGCCGTAATATGCAGTCGTTTGGGGGGTGCAAAAAGTGATTGTATTCCGACAGGGGTGGGTGGCGGGCGGCTGTCCCCTAGGAGATCTGCGCGGCCCCCGTGAAATGTACCCCCCGGGCCTCACAATCAGAACGGCCAATAATAGCGGCTAGAGGATAGTTTCAGAATAGAAATTGGCATGATACCACTGTATTGGATACCTTAACATTAGCGGTAATGTTTAATGGCCGTTGGAATCTGGTGATCAAGCCGTTTTAAGCTTCAAAGCAGCCAAAAACTAGTGGTGTATGACCGGGAAGCCTAAACTAAAATGATTCACCTGAATAAACTAAAATATCTTGTTTTTGTTTGGTTAAGCTACGCAAAGTCGATGCCTAAGAAGGCCGGCCAAAAGACGCAAAACAGCTCTGTTCAAGTGTGATAAGAGCGTAAATGGGCGTGTGGATGGACCTGTGGTCAGACAACCCCATTAATTTAACTCAAGTATAGCAAGGTTTAGACTAAGATATGCACAGTCAACCTAAAACCCCAAATTGCAAGGCTCCCAATGAAAATGAGTGAAAATGAGAGAAACAAAGTTGTTGCGGAAATTCAGTTCTCAAAACAGCGAATGGGCTGAAAAACTGTACGCTCTACAACAACAACGAGCTGAATTTCGCAAAACTGCGGATAGATTGGCAATAACCCTCCAATCACCGGGGCGGGTTGCGCGGCTGGATTGAGCTGTGGGGAGCAGAGTAGGTCGTAGCACGCCAAAAACGCCCAAAAAAGGAAGCGTGATCTCTAGCCGTGGAGAGGGCAGAGAAATAGGGTATCGAGATAGTACTAGAAAGAGGAGAGCCAAGGGTCAGTCACCAAAAAGGCTATAGTCGGGTTGCCCTGGGGCGCAGGCTGACCCCTGGGGTATTATGCGGCTGGACGGAATTGTTGTGGAAAGATGTAGTTTTTGAATGTTTTTTAATAGATGTTTAAATAGCAACCTGGCGGATAAACTGGCTTTTATCGATTTCTTACGAATCGAAATATAAAAGTTATAAATTAAGTTTAGCTCAAGAAATGCCCAATGCCAAGAAATCAACGCTAAAGAAACAACAAAATTTGGTGTATCATTTATCTGTTACGGGATTTAACAAAGAGTATCGGTTCCGAATGTATCGTGAAGTATATTAAGTATTTCAGAAAAGCCTAAAAAAAGCCTAATTCATCCATCAAAAATTAGAAAAACCTAACTTGATTGAGCTCTTTAAAATCGGATAGAAACTATTTGATTCTTGTAAACGATCGACAGATAGGATATAATTTTTTGAGACTCAAATTTCTATACTTTTATGCAATTGAATCCTGATGTATTAGCGATTTGCTACGGAATTGAATCGCTTTATAAAATGTTCAGATCGTATGTCCAGTAAACCAGGCCATGAGTCCATTTGCGCTGACCTTGTATCTCTGACGATTCCTGGTTCCTGCCGGAATGACGTGCATCGTGGTGGCTGAGGGGATGGTGATCGAGGCCAACCGCGCTCGTAAAAAAGCCACACCCTCGCAATTTTTCTTTTCAGGCGGCCAAAACTAGAGAATTTATTTTGGATGAATCGGCAAATTACGCTTTTTGGAATGTCGAAAATGCCGCTAAATATGTGATTCCCGATTTCAGAAAGCTAGTAGTAAATGAAAGGTCGAAAATGTCGCTCAAACGCGTCAAAAATCTCCGGTACAAGCGTTTATTTACATGGAAATTGTGAAAACGTTTGAAACCGGAAGTTATTTTTATGATAACGATTTTCTGAATGTTTATTCGAGTTCATACCATGCATTTTCGGAAACATGTGTGGCATAAAAAAACTGATTTATTCCTGCCCAAATTCACGCATAGCCTCTTCAGTCATTTCTTTCAACTTCTGAAGATTAGTGCTGTACATCCGGGCGTGTGGTAGGTATCCTTCAAAGCATTTCTCGAAATTATCAGCCACGACCTTGAGTTTGGCGGCGATTTTTGAACCGTTTCCGTAGACAGCTTGTTCCGTAATCTTTTTCACATTCACTGTATTTGCTTCCAGCAGGGCTTTCTGATCGTTCTCGATTCCCACGTGAATTCCTTAGACATTGCCGAACAGTCCCTCAAAATATCCGGTCAAATAGTCGGTTGTGGTTTTTTGTAAATCGGCCAGTCTTTGCTCCTTTAGATCGACATATTCGTGATTTTTATGGCCGCGTAGGCAACAAGCAGCGCAGACTGTGGTTCGATCGCATTGAATACACATGAATAAGTCGGTAACCTCAAGTGTTCGTTTACAATTTTGGCACTTTTCTTTAGGGACTTCGTCTTTGCTTTTGGCAATATTTAGGCAACCCCGTTCACCCTCCTCGATGCATAATTCGTACGGTTGTTCTTGTGAGGGGCTCCCCGAAAACTGCTTGGCCATTTCTAGTTCTTTGACGCGCTTTTTGAACCATTTTTTGTGTTCGTCCCTTGGCATTGGGCACACCGGACACTTTTCCGGTAAGTTTCCCGCCCCACGACATTCCGGACAGGCAATCATACGACAAGACATGGCACGAGCCTGATCGCATGAAAACTTGACAGCGCAGTAAGCGCAGTAAAAATACAGATCACTGGCGCCCGGCTTCGAAAAGAATTCCTTGATCTGCTCTTCGTCATATCCCAACTCTGTATTGTGTTGGTGGATAAAATTTTGTAGTTTTGTTATAGGGCTGCCGTCATAAGGACCACGACACCATTTCTGATAATGTTCTGTGAAGCATTGTTGACAACTCCATATGCTTGACGGCTCCTTAGTTACTTTTTTTTCACCCCTGAACGGCTTGCAATCGCTATCGTTGAAGATTTTCCGGCAGCTGTGATGTAGACATTTTAGCGGCTCTATCGGCCCTATAGATAGCCATCCTTCTTTTGTTCTCTAAAAATTCAAAAATTTTTCTGCAATAGTTTGTTTGAGAAAAGAGAAAGACAATAAATTTGACAAAAGCCTGCCAGTAATTTGCTAAGTTTTGCTAACAAGCACGTAGGAACCGTTTCCGATTACATGATTTAATCCCGAATCTGCGACCAGATGCGCTTTTCCCTAGTTTTGCGATACGCCGCGAAAGTAAAAGCGATTACTGTTAATGCTCCGCTCATACAAAAAAAAACTATATAGCAAGGCAAAACTTCTAAGAGAAATAGGGAGCTAAATAGATTTTGACCTGAAATCGCTTCGTCCACAGCATCTCGCAAACTTGCTGCACAACCCAAGGGCTAGGATACGGACAACACTTCTTGCAACACCAAGCCTCCTTGTACCACACCGGGTTCCTCGCGGAATCCTCCTTTGGATCAAAGGGCGAACCACATATTGCGCAATCAAATGGCTCGATCCGCATTTTATAGGTATGTCTGGAAATGACAAGACATTTTGCAAAAATACACAGACCAATATGGATTACTAGAGAGTTTTTCGATCTGCGGATTGATGGGGTTGTTCGGGTAATATTGTCTATCGGAGCATCAGTATTTTGATCCCATGGAACATGGGCCCATGTAGGGTTGGGTTTTGGCGCAACCGGTTTCCGATCGATCGCTTTGCATATCCTAAACGATTAAATCGTTGGACGAAAACCGGTTTCCTGCTTCAAACCGATTTAAATCGGTTCACGAGGCAAAACCGGTTTTTGTCAGGCTCGGAAATCGTTTCGCGGTAAAAAAGCCGGTTTTTCACGATTCGGTCCCGGAAGTGAAACCGGTCTTTATGCAAATGATATTAATTCTAATCAACTCAGACAGCCTGATCGCTACTTCATTGTTCGGGCTTTACCAGTCGTTTACGATTGTCTTTTGGGTCACAGTTTTAGATAGGCCGGTATTTCCCCGCTTTCACGCGCGGACCCGACTGTTACTGATAGCCTTAGGTTGTACTCGATCATTTTAAAGCGCTCCAAGCTCGCACTAGCGTTTAATATGACGTTCTAATCGTTTCTCTCTGGGACCATACATACATTGCCAACAAGCTAAAACAGAACTCGATTTCCAAGAATGTATGAAATTTGAGGCTTTCCATTACCGCAATTTGAATAATAAGTGTTCTGGGGATTTGCATAAAGACCGGTTTCACTTCCGGGACCGAATCGTGAAAAACCGGTTTTTTTACCGCGAACCGATTTCCGAGCCTGACAAAAACCGGTTTTGCCTCGTGAACCGATTTAAATCGGTTTGAAGTAGAGTTGTTATAAATCAAACAACAAACAACAAATTATTCAAACAACTCAAACCAGTTTGCTTTGTTTGAGCTCGACAAGTTTCAAACAAAACAATCTTGTTTGGTTTGAGTTCGAGGGGGATCAAATCAAACAAGGTTGTTTGACTTGTTTGAACTTGTTTGAGCACCCTGAACTGTGATATTTTTGGGGATTTTTCGATGGACCGGAAGTGGATTCAAACTTTCAAAAACAAATTTCACGGGAAAAAATGTATGCTAATTGCAAAAATACTAAAAAAAACACGCTTTAAATCCAAAATTAGCATACATTTCAAACAAGGTCAAACAAAACTCAAACTGCTCAAATAGTTCAAACAATCTTGTTTAGTTTGAGCGATCAACGGTCATCTCAAACAAAACATGTTTGATTTGAATCTCCAAAATCCCAATCAAACAACATTGTTCAAACAAGCTTGTTTGAGGCCTTGTTTTGTTTGAGTTATAACAACTCTAGTTTGAAGCAGGAAACCGGTTTTCGTCCAACGATTTAATCATTTAGGATATGCAAAGCGATCGATCGGAAACCGGTTGCGCCAAAACCCAACCCTAGGCCCATGGGCTTGGGGTTTTGTTTGTTGGGTTTCCTGATGCGGACCGGCGAAAAATGTTTGGGCTATCCCTTCCCCATCAAAATTTTATTGCATAAAAGTGACTTACCGCAAGAAACGAAAACAAAAAGAAAATGAGTAGGTGGATAAAATGGGTGGCTTTGTTGGGGAAAAGCGACGATATTCGGAAATGGGGACGCCTCGACGCTTTTTTGGAAAGGCAATATAAAAGCTATCTCCGCATTTTATGATAAAGCATCGGCCATCGAAGATGCGTCGCTACTAATCAATAACATGCGGGCAATGCTCGGCCCTCAGCTTGGACAACGAAACTCTTATGCCACGGTAAATTGCATCCAAAAAATGAAACGGATTTTTAGGGTGATTGAGGGTTTCAGGCCATTCAAATCCCACTTACAATTCCATTCCCCAAACCTTAAAAAGTGAGCAGATGGTTGCGTTTAAATTCTATTTTATTGTTACAAAAAGTACACTGAATCCAAGGTATAATAATTGAGGTTGGGGGCCGAATTGCAAATTCTGTGAGGCTTCTTATTCCTCGAGCCTCTCATGGCATCACGACAGTTGCATCTGGCTTTTGAACCGACTTCTACAAGCTGAGGAAATTCAGGGTTTAAAAATTACTTTGCAGATTGTGGAGGCGCTTTGCTGCTGTCAAGCCAAAATGTCAAGCATTCGCCTTTGCCCTGAAAATTAGGCCGTGTGTCAGAAAGAACCCTAAGAAAATTACCTTGACTTCGATTTTGCCCCTTTCGGACATGTTAAATTGGGGGAAGAAGCAGTGGAGAAGGTTGTAGGCCTGTTCGGATATCTGAAAAAACTGAAAAATGTAATCAAAAAGGCATCAGGACCTGAATTTTATTTGCCACGCCGGTACTTTCCATCCTGGAAGCCGTGTTGACGGTATCACCAAAGAGACAGTATCTAAAAGGGTATTTTTTTGTAGGTTTTCTTCGGAAACTGAATCACTCAGATCATTTATAGCATTAAAACCCGTGTTGCCTGCTGTTGAATGAAACTAAATGATGCTAAAAATTATCCTAGCGAAGAGAAAATATTTCCTTAGCTAGAATACAACTTTAGATCACTGTGACAAGATAGGGCAGCTTCAAACTTCAGCCAAACTTTGGCAATCCCAAAGCTTTTTGACTGTGTGTTGCACCGTCTGAAACAAGTTATGCTGCGTAGTTTGAATGTCTATTTGATTCGGGATTAAAAGGATTTCAAAGATCTCACTCGAAGACCCCGAATGCTTGTCAGAAATTCCATTGAATCCCTAAAAAAGTCCTACAGCAGCAATGCTAATTTGCAAGCACTGATTATTTCTCAAACATTTAGCGCCTTTCAAAGAAAGAGTTGCGTCAGATTTTCACTGGTTTCGAAATTTCAGGTCTCTGTAGAACGGGAGAACTCACCTCGGCGCCGCCAATCCAACCACTCCAGCTGCTACAGATCCCGAGTGGAATCCGATCCTTACCATCATCAGTTCCTCGGGCCGATGCGCCAATTTAAAGTTGGAGACAAACTACAAGTATTCAATAATTTCTAGGATGAATTCTTCCTACAGCCCGCATCTTCAACGCGACGTCAGCAATGTTTTGGACGTGATAATTTCCATTTTCTTTTGGAACTCCAGATACGATCATGTACGCGTCACCGATGGTTTCGACCTGAAATTTTGGCGAGTGGTAGGGGGACGTTCGATTACTTTGTACGCATCATGCTTGGCGATGATGGAGTCGAACCCGGAGAACATATCGTTGAGGAAGGTGACGACCTAAAAAATGGATTGGAAAGTCGATTTCCTCAATGGATAATGCTAGTTTGCCGCCAATTTCTAAACTCGAAACATCAATATTTAACTATGGACTTATTTATTTGTTTTAAGGAAAGGTACAAACTCCGGTGATAAATGGGGTTACCTGCAATGGTGTCGAAGTCGACGATATCCTTGTAAATCCGCGAATATCCGAAAATAGGACAGTAGCGCATGGGTAGAGTTGAGGAAGCACAGGTTTTCCAACCTTGAGATCTTCCGCAACAGATCTAAAACGAAGAATTTATCTTATTTCGATCAATAATGAGTTTATGGTTGCATCTCACTATGACTTGGACCGCTTGTTCATCGCCGCCTCAGCTTACAGAAGAACTGATTTGCACACACCTTAACGAAGTTGTGCCAATCATTCCTTCTGTAGGCCGTGGAGGGAGTGGTTAGGGGCATGGGAGCGAGTGATAAAAGAGCAGGAGAGAGCGTGAGAGAGCAAGAGAGATAGAGAGCGAGAGGGCGAGAGATCGAGATAGTGAGGGAGCGGTAGCGAGGAGAGCGAGCTCGAGCGCGCCGGGTATACCTTGGCAGCATGTTATTCAGTAATCGATCCGCCTGCTTCTGTGCTTCTTCTAACATAGCGGTCCTATCTCGGACCAACGATTCGAGATTCGTCGTGTACTCCTCCATCATCTTCATCATTTGATCAACGAGTGAGCCTTTGCCCCTAAAAAGCTTATCTTGTTGATATCTAACATTTTCTATCTCTGCGTCTCTCTCTCGTTTTTGCTATAACTTACGTGCTCTTCAAATTCGAATTCGTCAACGATCGAACTTTCTTTATGTTTGGCCTCATTTCTGGTAGCTCCAGCCAGCATGCCTCAATGCAAGAGAGCAGTTGGAGGTTGTAGGACTCGGTGTCTTTACCTAAACATTATCGCCGGACCCATTAAATTCCATCTATGCTTCAAAATAGCAGTTTAATGGCCTACCAACTGTTGAGGGGAAGCTGGGCCTGATCAGCTGATCGTCATCGTTAGACATGGCGATGAGATCCATGAGCTCTGAAGGAGGGCTGTACTGGCGAGAGAAAGAGAGAGCGAGAAATGGAGAGAGCTAGAGAGAGAGAGGGGGAGAGATCCAAAAACTTACTCGCTATGGATTTCCCCCTTTCGTGAAATGGCTCGACTCTGTATAGAATCTGATAGAGAACCATTCCACAAGCATAGATATCTTGGGGTTGGCCTCCGGGTGGTAAAGCCTTGCGGGTTACGATTTCTCGAATCACTTCTGGAGCCTGCTGGATATATTCTGAAAAGCTGGGGCGTTATAAGGATCGTGAAAGGCTTGCAAATTCCGTACAAATCCCGATCTTTCGACTTCTACGATTTTGCGAAGCGCTAGGTAAGGACTCTAAAGGTAAGGAATTTTCTGGTTTCAGGAGCCAGGTGATTTTCTAAAGAATTGCTGCTATTGGGCCTTTGCAACCCAATTTCGGCTTTAAGTATACTTACTCCTATCAATCAGCCGTTCGCTCTCATCTTCCAACTCCGAAGCCACGGCTCGGATCTCATTATGGTACATCTTGTCGGAGATGATCTCCTCGGTACGGAAATTCGTTAGTTTAACCGTCCAATTCGAGTCGACCAGACAATTCTGGAGGCAGAGAAGCCCGTGGTAAATGATTGGGGAAGCATGGATGAAGGCCAGGGCCTAAATCAGTATCTAATCTTGAAATGGTCAGATTATACCTTGACGACATCCTTGGCAAAGGATACTTGAAAATTTCGACCAAGTTTGAGCTCATCGTTGAAGAGGATGTCCTGGAAGTTAAGGCTTGGCCTTTATTTCTTTCAACGGTATCGTTGGCTTGGAAAGACTTGGATTTCTTGAAATAAAACCTCTACTATATTTTCTTGCTGACAAAGGATAGCTTTAGGACGTAGAAAATCTATATTAATGCGTTTTTTTGCAAAAACATACCTCCAGACTTCCCCTCGAGCACAGAATCCACATGACGACGAATTCATTCTGCTGGTTGAAGGCGATCCCGTAAAATTTATTCAGGTTCTCGTTTTCGATGAGTTTCAGCTGGAAAAGTATACTTCGGAATTAAACAGGATCCAAAATTTGGCATTCTTATGCTAGACAAAACGCCAGAAAAAAACATGGCACATTCCTAAAAGTCGTGATCAATAAGAAATTCAGATTCAGACATTTTCAAGAAGTCCATAATTCCTAAATCCAATTCTTTTGCTTGCAAAGCCTGAACACTTCTACCCAAGATGTATTCTAAAAGTTGCACTAAAAAGGAACGCGTCCAAGATACTATACTTGGGGCAATTAATGAGCATCTGGGGCAAGGGGAGGGTGAGCTTTAGATCCCCGGGTGTCATCCCATCCCAATTAGGACTGGGGTAGAAATTTGAGTTGAGTGAGGGCTAGTGATGCCCTTCTCATCCGTCCGTCGCGGCTAACGATTGGTACACGGATTCCGAGAATACACCAAAAAGCCACACCCGAGGCTAGGCAAATCCGGATTCTCCGTAATCTTGGGCTAGGCTAGGCAGCCGAGAGATTTTTGGTGGCCTTCCTGGTATCCTGTTGTTTTAGAGAACTAGTTTTGTTTTAAAGAAGAAACCCCGTTTGAAAATAATGAACTTTGAGGATTGGAATGGAAAAGACAAGCCAATACAAACGCTTTTAAAAGTTTAAAAAACTATAACTGCACGAGAAAATGCAAAGAGTAACCAAGATTCTTCTTTCTGGTTTTGGGCAGGCTAGCAAAGATATTTTGAGAATGCCAAGCTTTTGAGTCATACTTTCCTTTCGTCATCATCCTTTCAGGACTACCTTTTAAAAAAACCCAGGACTTACCTCCTTCAAGGTCCGTAAATCCTCCTTCTGGAATGTGATATTCCGCATTTGGGTGAAGCGCTTAATCGCTAGTCTGAAATACAATAAAATCTGGCTAATAAGCCACCACGTTACCGAACACCATTCGATATGGCCTGTTTCGCGCCGACCATCCCATTTTGCTTGGAGGTCAGACTCCCGGAAAATGAGCCAGACGATTGCGACTTGCTGGCCAGCGAGTGCTCGGATTTCTAAAAAGTATACAATTAAGCACAAAAGTCTTTTTAATCTATACAGTTGTTAAACCGAAAAACTATGGTTTTAAAACTATCATTGTAGGTTTACCATTTTCGAGGCATCCACCAGTCGTACACTATCTCTTGGGATTCGCCAAGTCATATCGTATAACAGGCGCTCTTTTCTAAATCAATTATAAAATTTCTTGTTGATACTGTATCTCGTGTCATTAAAATTTCCAAAATTGACTTACTGTTTGGTATACAAAAAGTAGGATAATGGAAATATCGTCAGAATGAACAAGGTGACGCCCATTAACACAAAGTAGGTGGTGTAGTCACAGTCGGCTCCTGATTACAGTACGTATTCTAAGAATTAAAAAGGATAGGGAATACCTGTAAAGCCACATGATGGTACGGATTGTGGAAGTTGGCCGTTGTGGCTGTTCCAGTAGAATTGAACGACTTCGTGGGCTACCTGCAGCAAAATAACCTTGCACTAATGGCTTCAAAGTTCTCCAGGATTCGCTAGCTAACCTTGGAGTTCCTAAAGGATCACGGCTGGTTTGCCCGCTCTTTGTCTATCATGATCTCGTTTTCTCTCTCTCTCTCTCTCTCTCTCTCTCTCTTTCTTTCTCTCGCTCTTTCTTTATTTATTTGATTGTAGACCCACGTGCTCCGAGCACAACTCCAAGTTCGAATTGCACTTGTCGCGCTCGCCGAGTTTTGCCTCTAGCTCGACGACGATCCGTAAGGTACCATTCGAGGTATGATAGGTTGCATACGACGGGACCCGGATGGCTTTGTTGTTCATCAACACCAGCCCAGTGACGCCTAAAATCAACCGTATACATTTGGACTTTCATGGTTCAGTGGCACCTTACGCAGTAGAAATAGCTGTTAGCCGGTATCTAAGAGCTCCAGGAAGGTATAACCTACCCATAAATTGCCGATTCGTCATCTTCTCCCAGATAAACGAGCCGTTAAAGTGCACATCGTAGTCCCCGGTATCTTCAAACGCATCCCTCAACGCCAGGCCGTAGAGGAAAAGAGCATCGTATAACGTCATGTAGGCCAGGGTGGCATACTGTAACAAGCCGGTTTTACGTAAAAAAGGTAGGTTCTACATGAGTAGCCAGCATTCCGGTGGTTTTGATAAATTTTTCTTGAAAATCGTCGAAGAATTTTGCGTCATAGCCGTGGGCGGTGATGATCATCGTGTTTTCATAAGCAGCCTTTACTTCTTGTTTGTCTACGGTGGTTGCTTCCCAGGGGTGATGATCGTTTATCTGAAAATGAGATAGTCTAAACTTAACGTTACAGTGGCCTTGACAAGTGTATTTCTCCTTTAAAGGAGCCGGCAAGGCATGCCCGTCGGCTTATCGACGATGGTTCACGTTTAGGGCCCTGTTAGATCCGATCAACTACCGAGTGGTAACCTTGAGCTATGTACTTTAGCCCAAGAGCTCAAATCCTTTTTTCGCCACCTCAGCACATTTTTCCTCTCTTCCTCGCATATCCTCGTTTCCGGTTACGCAAGCACTTGGCCGGCAAGGGGTTGGCTCAGTCAAATCAAGGCAGGGGAATTACGACTACTGTAATCCGTATTTGTGCCCGGCCGGGGCAGTCAGCGAGGCCATTTCCGGAGAATTTGGGTAGTCACTGATAATAATAATAATAATGAAATTAAAAAATTGGCGTCGGTTTGGTGCCATACTAGCGAGTAATCAGAAGGGGCAATCTAGCAGAGATGGCTTGGGGAAGGAAAACTTAAAGTTTGGGATAGCGGAGCTGAGTCAGGAACTCGCGGATGCATGGTAGACTTGAGGCACTGGCTAGTAGAGATACTTAGAGGACAAGGAAGCTTGGCGTGAGGTCGGCAGGCTAGCAGAGAGCGTTTGTGAAGAGTTCCTACTCGGTAGAATTGAGGTAGGCTAGCAGGGAACATTTGGGAAATAGCCCCTATCTAACTCGCTTATGGCTAGCTAGCAGATACAATTTAGGATCCACCTACATGTGATAACCAAGGCAAAATGTAGACGTATTCCTCGGTTTTCATCTCAGCTCGATACACGGCTTGCATGAAGTTGGTGTTCGCATGCAAATCCATGCCCAGCTCGACGAGGATGACTGAAAATGAACATAATATCAGGTTGGAACGAAAGTTCTGTCGCCGAGATTTTGGAGGGCTGGCTAAATTCGTAGATAACTCCATTCGGCACATGCGATATGTCATTTTGTAGCTCTCGGCATGAATGGTTCCGGGAGGAAGGCCCTGAAAATCAAGGACGGCCGAGATACAGGCCCAAGAAGATTTTTCAAAAATTACGCAAAAGTGTTTTTGCAAGTTATCTCTGCATAGAGACATTTGCATGCGATACCTTTAACGCCAATTGATAGCTCCCGAGGAGTAGATATCGATAGATGTTGAGATCATCAAAATTGGACACTGGATGGCCGAGATATGGCCTCTTGAAATTTGGCCCATTCCTTAGAACTTTCCTCGATTTCCCATACATTTTTTCAAAATCCGCTCTGCTAGTCCAAAAATAAAGCGGCAATTTTCGGCACCAGTCCGTCAAATGTTTGAAAATGTATGGGAAATCGAGGAAAGTTCTAAGGAATGGGCCAAATTTCAAGAGGCCATATCTCGGCCATCCAGTGTCCAATTTTGATGATCTCAACATCTATCGATATCTACTCCTCGGGAGCTATCAATTGGCGTTAAAGGTATCGCATGCAAATGTCTCTATGCAGAGATAACTTGCAAAAACACTTTTGCGTAATTTTTGAAAAATCTTCTTGGGCCTGTATCTCGGCCGTCCTTGATTTTCAGGGCCTTCCTCCCGGAACCATTCATGCCGAGAGCTACAAAATGACATATCGCATGTGCCGAATGGAGTTATCTACCAATTTAGCCAGCCCTCCAAAATCTCGGCGACAGAACTTTCGTTCCAACCTGATAGATAGAAAGGCAAGCTAGCAAAGATCATTTAGGAATGGTTTGGCGAAAGACATACTCCTAGCATTTGCTTTCAATTGCTTCAGTTTTCCCGACGCCAAAATCTCATCGGCTGAAGCATAGGGATCGATTTCGACGAGTATGTTGACTTGGAGCTAAAAATTTTTTCTTGGATTTTAAAGGCGAACTAATAGTTGAACTAAAATTTCAATGCACAATTACCTGCGCATCCTTTTTCTTGATTAAATTATTCAAGGAGTGCAGACTCAAGCGATCGTAGCCGTTGGTGGGTCGAACCATGCCGACCTAAAAACGGAAAATTCCCGATCTATGGTTCCGTTTGAAATTTTAATGAGTCCGTTAAGGCGTGTATAGTCAGGAAAAATTGTAACGAAGCGAATAAAAAAGCGGAAATTGGAAAAAACTTAAAGGAAATATCGGTACCTGCTCCCAATTGTTCAACTGCAGAAAAGCCATCGTTGCCCTCGCCATTTCACCAGCTGATGTGAGAGCGACAGAGCCGAGTGTCGGGAAGACAGTTCGATCAGACAGGATGTCATCTCCAGACATATGGGCAACAATTGGTACGTTCCAACGAGGTGCGAGACGGCCGATGACGAGCATTTCTGGAAAAAGGAGCATTGAGAGTTAAATAGAAATTTAATGGGATGTGTGTCATTTTCGGGAGGCGATGGCAGCGCGATTTTATGGAAGAAAAAAGCATGTACGATTAGAGTGAATACAGCGCCACGCGCCTACCCGGCGTTCACGCCCGTCTTTCCGGAGGGTGCATAGCATTATTTAGTGCCGGAGTCTGGTAATCTCCAGAGCCAAAATTTTGCAATCCCGGTTAACCGATAAGTTTCGTTATTACCATTATTACAACCCGGCCCAAAATATATCGTCGCGTTTTTCATGTAGTGCAGATATGCCGCATTCTCAACACCGCTATACTTGTTACAGCTCTCGTATGTGATCACCCTAAAATGAATTTGAGTTTTTGAGACACTTCACGCGACTGACTCGATAGTAAAATTCTTCGGCAATATTTTCCTCTCCTTTAGGTCGGCGTACCCCATCCGGAGAATATCTGGCTCATGTGCTATCTTAAGAAGAATTTGATAGAATTCTTAATAACTTATGATAGTACCTGTGGATTATTTGGTAGTAAATGCCCAATTTTGACAACACCGCCAGAGCCGACATTTTTACGATTTAGTGCTCGCAGATCTTCAGGTCGTAGTCTGATTGCGTAGGTTGGCGATAGGAATATTGGGATTAGAAGTAGTGCTCTCCACCGCATCCTGGTGTAAAATAAAATTTTTGTATTTTACACACTATTTTCACGTTTTCTGCTTAATTTTACTGACTTTAAATGTGGTTGAACTACAAATTAGTGGTTGAAACTTTAAAAAACCCTGTATTAAATCTATGCTAAACCTTATTAATATTGTAAAAAAATCAGAATACAGTAACTGCTTTTATTAAAATGTTAGTGCACTCAAAAAGGTAAAAAACAAAAGGAAAACTTGTGAAATCTCGAAATTCCCAATTTTTGCAAATTAAGCGCATCCAACGCCTCCAATAACAACTTTGTTTTATCTCATTTTGGAAGATTTGAAAGATGCGGCGTAAATTTGGCGTAGAATCTATGAAAATCCTAGGAAAATATCTCATGAGATTGGTAAATCAGTAGACGATCCTATCGTGGTGGCCGAACCCACTCACCTCCTCCTGCCCATCCCCCATCCTCATCCCCTCCTCGGCGTCAAATCCAAACCGGAAGGGCCCTAATGGACCTCTTTAATATCCACCAATCCCCCCAATCCACTCACTCACCTGCTCACCGATACTAGGTAATCGGCTGGCCCCATGGCCCATTTATCGAGTCGAGGAAGCTGATGGAAGTAGGGATGAGACAAACTGCCATTAGTCAGATATCTGGAAGCGAACTTGGCAAGAGATTTGGAGCGTGGATACGGTGATACCAAATGCCCCCATGAAGTAAAAACCTGATATGGGTGTATACACGATGGCTCGTGAAAAGAAATGTATTAGATTTCGGATTTTAAAGGAATATGGAAGGCAAGGGATTGGACCTTCGGACGCCTGACTCACGTAGAACGGCACCACGCATCAGAATCGGCACCGGTTTCGGTAGTCGTCAGCAAAAATGTAAATCGTGCTAAAACACTCGTCTCGAGCTTAATGCTAATGTTGCGCGCAATAATCAATATCAATTTAAAAGTTGAGAATTCTCACGCTTCTTTGCTCCTTTAATGACTTGCAATGTAGATTACACAACAATGTTTCTGCAAGAAAGTGCAATAATTTCTGCTTGCTTTTTTCAATAATTTTGAGATAAGTCGTGCCAATCCTTGACATTCCTCAGAAGCCTCTGCTAGACTGCCTCGACTAATCCTCACTACCACACTGTCGTCTGTCACTTCTCAGGTGTAAAATTCGGCTAAACAAGTTTTCGAGTTTGTTATTTGTAGTTTTCATATGACTTCGATTTCTTATCCTTCACTGATGCGTCCAGTGATCGATAAATTCCTGAAGATTCTCTGCTGCACGCTGCAACCATTCTCAACATGTGTGTTTTCTCCAGCTTTTGATGCAATAAGAAGACATGCAGGGGCTTCATTTTGGTAAAAAGTTGCACTCCCCTAACAGGTGATCACTGTCCTAAACCCATCTTCCAATCCTTTTTATCAAAATGTCAACTATACAATCCTCCAATGTGCATAGCAGTCTCACGTAGTGGCAGTGGTGAAGCTAAAGAGACCATTGGCCAACAGCAACGCGACCCACTCTCACAACGACACTAACTCATCAGTTATGCATATCAGCCGGCCAGTCGAAGCCACCAATTAGACTCGGGGTGTCCAGCGGCATTCATCACAAAAGATTCGGGGCATCGCCCCACGAGCATAGCCAGAGTCATTTGGGGTTGATCTGGAATATGCGTCAGCTGGAAAGCTTTAGTTTTGCGGGTTTGATCTCTTCTGGTTGTGTTTTTGTTCGGCTATTTTCGAATTTTCTTTGTACTAACTCTCTTTCTCGCTCTCTCTTTCCCGCTCTCTCTTTCCTCTCTCTCTCTCTCTCTCTCTCTCTCTCTCTCTCTCTCTCCCTCTCTCTCTCTTCTTCTCTCTCTCTCTCTCTCTCTCTCTCTCTCTCTCTCTATCACTCTCTTCCTTTCGCTACCTTAATTTCAAGGAACCTGCTTTCTTTATATTTAATTTTCAAAGTGCGGCTTTATGATGCCCCATGTGAGGCGAACGGCCTTTTCTATTCCGAACTCCGGGGCTTTTGTTGTATTCTGGAATTTTCTATGCTCTTCGTGCTTTTTGATAAGTATTGGAAGCAACGAGAGCTCAAAAATCTTTTAGAATTCTTCAAGATTTCAACCCTAAGTTGTTCCCTCGAAAAGGAGTCCCAAAATTCATTAATCTCCCGCTTCTTCGAACCTTCAAGAATATTTATCGAGAGCTTTTTGATGAGTTAGCGGATTTTGAGTGCGCTAGGAAGTTCTTATTACATTACATTTTTTCGGATTTTTTGCAGGATTATATAAAAATGTTTCATTTTATTACTTGAACCCAATTTTGCTGTTATTAAATATCTTACTGCTTTTTTAAATCTCAAAGCTAGTTTTTTCTAATTTTTTTGAATCTTCCAGTTCAACGCGCTTTAGCAAAAAGACAAAGCAAAGCCGATTTTCTGAAACAAAAATTCCTAGTTTTTAGTTGTTTTATTAGTTTGGTTTTTGTTAATTTGTTTTGCTAGAGCTACTCAGAACACTTCGAAGTAAAGTGGAATTCACAATTAGTGCTCCATTCGTTTATTGCCAGTGTGCACTTACCCCCCAACACATCTAGCACCTTTTCACCCCTGGCTTCTTCCGGGTCCGAAAAACCTTAAGTTTGGCCTGGGCCCGAACTCACTCGTGCTCAATTTCAGCGCCACCAGCTCCTCATTTACAGCCCCTAAAAAAGGCATTTCAGCCATCGATCCAACGCCCAAATAGCCCGCAGGAGGGCAGGCTTTCCGGAAGGATGGACATCGTTCGACTTGATTCACCACAGCCTTCTATCATCGGGTAGGTCGTTGTTTGAGGGAAGGGGCTTCGTGATATGCTTTGGAAAATTGGTAAGGGCGGCCGAAATGGGCCCTCGTTGTTTTCGGGAATCGGCCCATCTATTTGGTGGATTCGGCGCATGAGATGGCAGCTGCGAATGGCGTTTGTCTGGCACACCCGGGTTATGCTGTATTTTTTTTGCGTGGCTATATCTTGTCTTGCCCCAGAATGACGCTAAAATCAATAAAAACAATTATGAACTCAACTGGACGAAAAGTGCCCTTCGGTCCGAGATAATCCACCAATTTTATAGGTTTTTTAGCTAAAACGATGGTGCGGATTTCACCTAGAATATTCCGGTTACGGCGACGTGCAAAATCGAAATCTCATTTCGCCGCTAAATGCGCTACACCAGGACTTATGCATTAAAACAGTAACCGGCAGCTTCGGTTGCCGTGCCAAACGCGACGCTCCTCCACGCGGTTGTTGTCACCGTATT